GAAAAATTATTTTCGTTTGCGGGGGTCAATTACAATTATTTTTGGTGAATAGATATACCCCCGAATTCCTACGCGTTTTCGAGAAAAAAATTCGAGTAGGTGGACAAATTTTTTGATAAAATTAAAAACTTTCAAATCATTCTGGAAAAATTATTTTCGGTTGCAGGGGTTAATTGCAATTATTTTTGGTGAATAGATATACCCCCGAAATCCTACGCGTTTTCGAGAAAAAAATTCGAGAAGGTGTGAAATTTTTCGACGGAAAAAAAAAATTTCAAATTGTTCTGGAAAAATTATTTTCGGTTGCGGGGGTCAATTACAATTAGTTTTGGTGAATAGATATACCCCCGAATTCCTACGCGTTTTCGAGAAAAAAATTCGAGTAGGTGGACAAATTTTTTGATAAAATTCAAAAATTTCAAATCGTTCTGGAAAAATTATTTTCAGTTGCAGAGGTCAATTACAATCATTTTTGATGAATAGACATACCCTCGAAATTCTACGCATTTTCGAGAAAAAAATTCGTGTAGGTGGTCAAATTTCATTAATAACTTTTGAAAATAATTTTGTTAATAACTTTTTAACGAAGCCTCGATCAAAAAATTGATATTCTTGATTTTCGTTTTGTTTTTACAAACACCCTGTATACGAATCTTATCGACCCCAATGCGCAACGAAAAATTATTTATTGCAAATTACAAAATTCCTTTTAACGAGCATCGAATATATCGACCCGGTTTCTGGTAACCGAAACTCCGTCAGAGTAAAGGGAACGGAATAAACGCGTGGTAATTCTCAATAACAGTAATTTCGGAGCGGTTCGAGCAAGAACAGGAGACGCGGGGGAGACAAAGTGACAGACAGAGACGTTGGGGGTTGGGGTGGCTGGATGGTGGGGGTAAACGGGGAGCAGTGAACACAAGGACCGATCCACCGGGTCGTTCCCAGCGGTGGTGACTGCAAAGATTATTCGCTATAGGGCATCGAACGCGGACAAACGCGATACCATGGGGGTAGCTCAGCTGCTTTCTGCCACATATATTGGGGGTACCAGCCACCCCTCGTTCGCAGCTGCCAGATACGCGCACCTTCCACCACGTAACACGTTGCACCTTCCCGCGAGTGTTTCGCGATCATACGTCGACCTCCCGAATCGCTCTGCTCGATCGATGATCGTTACTTCGATCATCAGCCTATTTGTTCGACTCGTTTGAACGTGGGGAGATAACAACTACTTGGAAACACGGTAAAACGCGATTCATAAAATTCCATGAGATAGAATCATTATTTAAAAATAAATGGGAGAGGTACATTTAATATTGTAAAAATAATATCGATCAAATTGAAGATATAATTTGTTATGTTTAGTCAAACATAACCTAACCCTGGAAATTAAAAAAAATTGATATCATTGCACGTTGTAAACAAGTGTCGTTTCGATTGTTAAAATTAACACGAATATTCGAATTTGTTGATTTAGTTGCGTTTACTGAAACCGGAATGGTACGCGGAGAATATTTGCGGGGAACAACGCGAAGTCGACGAGTACGTTGAACGGCAACCCGTGCGGTCGTCTCAACCGACACGCTCTCGAAGCCGAACTTAATAACGCTCTTTCCTTTTCCGGTTTCTTCTTTCCTCTTTCTTCCTCGGTTTACCCAGTATCATGCAGAAAACCTCGTACAAGTTCGCGTAACCCTCGACGAATTTATCGATCGAACCAAATACAGTAAAAAAAAAAAAATTTATTTTAATCAATTCCGAATAAAATTTCGATTTTGATATATTTATACCATTTTGGTCGAATTAAACACGTTGCTAATTTGCTACCTAAATTAAACAAAAATCTGTTCAAAACGTTACTCCGAAAGGTGCCCAATTTGTCACGGGACCACGCCTGCTTTGACCGATTAATTTTACGAGCAGTTAATTGGTTGGATTTTCGATATTCCGGGGCGACCAAAACGAAGAAACGACGGCGGGAACAGCGCACGTATCGGCGTTCCATCAGACATAAGTCCGTTGGTATAACTCGTTCCTCCTCTTTCGTCGACGAGTTCTCCCGTCATTTTTATAGCTGTTCGAAAGCACAGCGTGATTACGCTCGAATTGAGCGAACGGCCGCTGTTATCTTCCACCGATACGAAAGATGTTCCCATCACGTGAAATTGATTCATGAGTTATCGTTACCTACCCACGATCCCCCCCCTCTCAGCGATCGGGCCCAGAGATGCCCGAAATTCTTATCTAGATAAAATAAACTTCTCGTTCGTTGTTTCCAGAATGAAAAATTAAATATTTCACAAATCAACCAACTTTAAGTTCATCTTACCCGTAATCTATTATTTAAATAAAATTTTCGCTATTACTAACATCAGACCTCGTTCCTTGTTTCCAGAATGAAAAATTAAATATTTCACAAATCCACCGACTTTAAGTTCATCTTACTCGAAATCTATTATTTAAATGAAATTTTTGCTATTACTAACACCAGATTACAAAGTATCGTTTCCAATTGAGGTTTCTTATCTTTCAAATCGAGGGGGGAAAAGGTTGGTCGCGCGAGAGACTCAAAAGTTTCGATAGGTTATAAAAAATGGCCGCCATGCCGGTCGATCGGATAGAGGAGGCTCGCCAAAAGCACTTGTAGACTCTGGTCTTAGGGGCGGGTGGGGTACCTGCCGTGTGAAAATCTCCGAAGAATGCGAGGGTGGTATCAAAGATCAGGTGAAGCATTGTGATCGGCGGAATGAAAAAAACGGACCGAGTCGTACCTGCCCAGAGTGCTGCATCCTTCGGAACAGTCGGTGCATCAACCGACGGGACGAGGAGAGGCCCGGGAGAGGGAGAGAGACGGAGAGCAGGGCCCTTTCAGTGCGAGGAACTCCTATGGTCGGCAACCTTTTCCGCTCTGGTATCGAAAGCGAGGAGCTATGTAGTCAGTGAATGACCGCGCATGTATGCGAGACAGGCGGACAGCAACAGACAGACTCGAAGAGGGGGGTGAAGATCGTGCACTTAAATATTTCTTCCGGCAATACATACGCGCCCGTGTTTGTTTCTCCGGGCAATAATAATAATCTAAACGTTATCCGACGCGTGGTCATCTCATTTCACAAAAAAAACATTAAAAATAACAATTTTATCAACGTCCTGATAGTAGAATTATTTTAATCGAAATGTTACTTCGTACGAGATTTTCTCAGGCCTGGTTCATAAATTACCCCTTTGATCGCGAACGACTTCTCGGTAGAAGACACACCCTGTGTGCGAAACATTTGTCACGCCCTGAGTATACAGTCTGTGCACTCCGAACGCTCATAGACGTTTATCGGCAGGACACGACGAATTAATATTCGAAAAGGTTTCAATAGAAACGGAGATTAAGAGAACTACTTACTTCGGGACTTATTTCGCGTCGAGCATAACCTCCGTTATTACGAAACTTGTTTTCCCGCCATATGCATCTTTGCATTCCTCTTGAGAGAGATACCAGGGGCTTGGATTCGAAATTTTGTTCCTAATGCTCGTATACGTTGCTTTTGATCGTTGGACGCAAAGTTCTGGGGCTGACGTGCAGCAGACGCGGCTAGATTTATTTATTTAAGTCTTTACTGCTCGAGTGTACAGGTACCGGATACATGAATATAAAGCCACATGAGCGCGCGCAAGTGCGTAAGAGGTTAGGTGGAGCTAATAGCGATGTTATTAAAACCTAACCTTCGCGTTGTGTCGTGCACTTTATATGCACCTAGCGGATACGCGAACGTACGAATCGGCGAACGAACGAACAAACGAGACGGACGTAACGATAGACGGCGGCAGAGGGGCTGAAAAGGGCCCCCCATAGCGGGCGCCCTAAAGAGAGGATTCCGCGTTCCGTTCTCCCTACCCGGCTTGAGAAGATTTAGGCGGGCCCTTTCTCACTCCCTGATTGGCCGGCCCTTCCCCCCACCATACGTTATTGCCTCGTATAAAGACAGTTCTTCCCGCCAGATCGAGCAGTTTGTACGAGTTTGGCAAGTGGGAAGTACGCTGACCTCGTTCGCTGCTCGGTCAGACGCGTGGCGACCATCGCCCGTACGAGATCGTGTGTGAACGAGACGATAAAAAAATCATTATCAAAAAAAGGAAAATTTGCCGGAACGAATCGTTCCGTTCGTTCCTTCCTTTCGTTGACGCGTCGTGCACACGATCTCGCTGATATGTTTTGGGAAAGTGTCACCGATTCGTGCGAAGTGTGCCAATGTACAAGGTATTAACGCGGGAACGAGTATATTTCCCGGCTTTCGTTAAAGACACTTCGTTCCCCTCCCAAGGATCTACGTGTTGTGTGATTCAGTGAAATTCGACCCGCAACGTCCGTACTCGCGTGGGTAAAATCAAGAAGAAAACGTGCTGTGTCGCGGTCGCGAGCCGAGAGAGCTCGTTTCTCGTTCGATGCAAGAGTAATTTCTGCTATTCTACCGATATCGTCGAGAGGCTTGGTGAATTCCTCGGATTCGCGAGCCAAAGGTTTCACGGTCAATCATATTTGAATCGCACAACAGCAGTAGACGTTGCACTGAACACGTTTCACTGAACACTTCGTAACCGAGTTTTCCCTCCATTCCCTCTAAAGCAGACAAATTGTATTCTCGTGTAACGAGTAAAATTGTGTAGATTTATTCAGAAAATAGCTTTCGTTCACGATTTATGAGTAACTCCGTAAATCTGAATACGATTACAAAATCTTTTTTCCCCTGACCATCCAACGATGCAAAATCGTTAATTTTTTTTTATTCGAAAATAAAGTTTGTCCGACTCTGACTGTTGGCGCGCTCGTGTTGTTTCCTCGGGTACACGCAACGAGGCGCCCCAAGTCGGCAGTCACATTCACGAGTATTTGCCAAATAGAGACACGAGTTTGCACCGCGTGTCGCTTGCAAAGTGGCGTTTTGGCGCCAAAAGCACTTGACGCTCGTAGCCTCTATTCGACGTCGACACGAGTTTCAGGGGAATTCATGGTAGTGGTGGGTTTACCTTCGATATCGACGCGTAAGAACTTATTTGCCAAAGTAACGACTATGGTCAACGTACTGGTATACTGGTGAATCGACGTTTGCCTCCGGGTCGACGAAACGTACGCGATAATGTAGCCTGTGTGATCGAACGGTTCTGAAAATAAATACGGAAAATACACGCGTTCGTTTCGGTTTCTCGTGAATGATTTCTGTTCCGAATCGCGGCTCGTGATGAGAGACAATTTCACTTCTGTGTGACCGGTGCCCGCGCAAACTTTTCGAGGTTAGGTTGATCGTAGCACGTGCACGCGTAGCCATGTTGCAAATTCGATGGTGCTTATTCTTGTCTGTTGTTACAGGCTCTTCAAAAATGCGTTCAAATTCAAAAACACACCCGAACAGACGGTGAAATCCAAACCGAAGGCGCGACGACTTCTCGGCATGACGTCGCGACGCTTTTCCACTAGTCCGGAGATAGCATCGCCATCTGTCGACAAAGAGAACAGTAATGTCTCTTGCAGCCCACACGGTATCAGTCCGCAAAAGGTACGTACTCATACTCGTATGATATTTCGTGTAATCGTGATTCGTTATTTGATTTCACTCGTTTCCCCCCTTGTTACTTTACCTTACAAACTATGCATTGTAGGTACATCATCTGTATTACATACATAGTCTCGTATCACCCGTTTAACAGCAATAAATAAATAAAACTAAACAGAGACGCCATCTATTATTCAAATTAAACGTAGATTCTTAACATTTTTCCGTTTCGACTCGATAAGGCTATTTCGTGTTCTATTCTTTTCGAAAGGAAGCAAACCAATGATACACCTGTTTTTCTATTCTTCGATTCGGTTTATTTCCGACATTCACCAGATCGAAGATAACGAAACAGGCGACGAAATACAGCGTTTCTCGTTCGATTCGAATCTTTTGATTGATCTGAACTCGAGACGAGTCGAATTTTCCATAATCAAGTACCGTGGCGATAGGACACCGGATGTCGTGGCATTTCCGTCACCCGGATACATCATTGAAATGTTTAAATCGATGATCATTATGCTTCAGCTTTTCACACACACACACACACACAGCTGCCATTTTATTTTCTTATTGTAGATCTATTCGTTTGCATTTTTATTGCACATTTTTTAAGGTTAGGTCATCGACAACATACAGAGTGATCGGTTACCTCTGCGAAAAATTTGAATGGGAGATTCTAGAGACCAAAATATGACGAAAATCAAGAATACCAATTTGTTGATTGAGGCTTCGTTAAAAAGTGATTAACGATTAAAGTTCCATAAGGGCAGGAAAATTTTTCGGCGAAATTAAAATATTTTAAATAGTTCTGAAAAAATTATTTTCGGTTGCAGGGGTCAATTACAATCATTTTCGGTGAATAGACATAACCCCGAATTCCTACGCACTTTCGAGAAAAAAATTCGAGTAGGCGGACAAATTTTTCGACAAAATTAAAAGATTTAAAATCGATCTAGAAAAATTATTTTCGTTTGCAGGGGTCAATTACAATCATTTTTGGTGAATAGACATACCCCCGAAATCCTAAGCAGTTTCGAGAAAAAAATTCCAGTAGGTGGACAAATTTTTCGACAAAATTAAAATATTTCAAATCGATCTAGAAAAATTATTTTCGGTTGCAGGGGTCAATTACAATCATTTTTGGTGAATAGACATACCCCCGAAATCCTAAGCAGTTTCGAGAAAAAAATTCCAGTAGGTGGACAAATTTTTCGACAAAATTAAAATATTTCAAATCGATCTAGAAAAATTATTTTCGGTTGCAGGGGTCAATTACAATCATTTTTGGTGAATAGACATACCCCCGAAATCCTAAGCAGTTTCGAGAAAAAAATTCGTGTAGGTAGACAAATTTTATTAATAATTTTTAACAAAGCCTCGATCAACAAATTGGTATTCTTGGGTATTCTCATGGGTGGCCGAACACCCTGTATAGCTATACATTATCTTTGTCTTAATTGTTGAAGTCCTCAACTACCGACCAAATCGTGTTACGAAAAAGAAATAATATAAATCGCCGGTTGCAAAGAATTTTACTAACGTTTCGATTGTTCTATGCAGGCTGTGGTCGGCAAGAGATGTCGCTATCCGCTGGAGGATTGCGACCCGAACAGTCAGGACAGCGGATACGAGGCGAGCTACCCGGACAAGGAAGAGAAGCCCCAGGATGGGTTTCAGTTTTTGGAGCCTTTGGCCGTTGCCCCGCGTCGAATGTCGATCGAGTCGCGCAGCCCGATGGAGTCGCCGGTTCGTTCGTCGCCGCAGCGATTACGAATGACGCGACCGTCCCTCTTCCGGAGCCTCTCGTCCGGCTACGAAAGCATGGACGACGGTTTCAACGACCTGATCGACATGGAGGCTTTGGACGACACCACACAGCTACCGAACGGCATCTCCACCCTACTCTGCGGCGATATCGTCGGTAACGTCACGCTTACCGACGCGTCTGACTATAAAATAGACTCGAGCAGCCCGAGCACGCCGGAATTCCCTCGTACAAATCGCACCGGCAACTTCAGGCGATCGCTGTCGTTTCAGAGCGAGAAGCCGGAGACACGTAAGAACCTGTCGCTGTCGAAAGTACGCTCGTGTCTGTTTCGTTCGCCCAACGGGGCTACGTCGACGGCGGAGCTGAGCCCGGACGAGAGGAGCCCGTTGACGATGTCGCTATCCGCGAACCGTCGTCGACGAATCGCGTACGGGGACGAGAACGCGCTCAACAACGCTCTGTCCCTGTTCCCGATGTCCATCAGGACGTTCAAACGGCCGGATCCCCCGCCCATGGACGATAGTCCGAAACTAGTCAAAAGGTTGAGGAGATCCAGCACCAGCTTCCTAGACGCGATCAGGGAATGCAGCAGCACCGACACGCCGGCCTTGAATCCAAGGTTCGCGGCCGTTCCGCTGCAGAGGAGCCTGTCGGAGACCGTCACCACGACGATCGCGACAAAAACGGAAACGCACGCGCTGATCAAGTCCGCCATTCACCGCAGCACCACCGACCTGGACCTGACCGGCGACTTCAGCAAACCGTGCGTTCTGCCGTTGGCTACCGGTCAACACGAGGACCTCAAGTCGATCTCCACGGACACCCTCGCGGCCCTGATACGCGGCGAGTTCCAGGATCGAATCGGCTCGTTCCAGATCGTCGACTGTCGGTACCCGTACGAGTTCGACGCCGGTCACATCCAAGGCGCACAGAACCTCTACAGCAAGGATCTCATCGAACGGATCCTGCTCGACCCGATGAAGAGCTCGCCCGAGATACAACCGGACACCAACAAGAGAAACGTCTTGGTGTTCCATTGCGAGTTCTCGTGGGAGCGCGGGCCGAATCTGTCGCGGTTTCTGCGCAGCTTGGACCGTCAACGGAACAAGGAGCACTATCCTGCTCTGCATTACCCCGAGCTCTATCTGCTGCACGGCGGTTACGAGCAGTTCTACAAGGAGCAGAAATTGTTGTGCACGCCGCAAGGTTACCGACCGATGAGACATCCCGACAACGAGGCGGATCTCAGACAGTTTCGAAGCAAGAGCAAAAGCTGGCAGGGCGAGAAATCGAGGATCACACCCAGCGTGACGCGAACCAATCTGAAGCGTTTAGGTTTTTGATCGCACGTTTTGTCTCGAGATCCCTTTCGTTGCTTCGCGAAGACGAGCGGAAGGTAATCGTTCTGCCAGTGGCATTCGTGCGATCGTTCCTGTATCTTTACGTTGTAAATAGCTTGTCTGGCACTAGTACGCTTACTCTCTTAGTAAATTCTAGTACAAGGAAACGAAAAGCGCTTATTTTCGTCGACGAGTGTCGTCGAAGGTTTGCGCGCGGACGGACGATCGGATGAGAATTTAGATGTACAACAGAATTTCAGTTATCCGAACTAAAAAAGCTTGCTGATTGGTCCTTCCACTATTTCTTACAAGATGCAACAATGATCCACGTCCGTCTAAAATGTATCCATAGTCTTTAAAATTATGAAATAATTCCCGGCTCGAGGGTTCTAGAGATTCGTCGACATTATTTGTATATACAATCGTTGGTTTTGGTAAGCAAAGTTCGGATAAATGAAGCAGTATGCTGTAAAAGGTATCGTCGAGTAGCTAGATGTCGCTGTCCGCGCGCAACGACCGTTCACGGCGATGGCGATGTGGACGGGGGTGGAGCAAACGCGAAAGAATGAGACGAATCGTTCGTAACGGTTTTTTTGCAATCTTCTACACGCGTGATTTCATTATTCGCATCGTCGCCGCCGTTTCGAGGCATTGCATCGCCAAAGTTTATAGAGAATATTTTTGGACTGTGTACATTAAATACGACGCGGGGAAATCAATTATAAAGAGAGAATTAAAATTATTCTAAATGTGCAAATTTCATTTTGTATATGTATGGATGAACGAATGTGTGATAGATGAACGAACGAACGAACGAACGACGCGTGTACGTATACATGTGTGTATTATAAAAATGGTTGTACGTTATATGTCTCTTTAGTTTATAATATACCTTTCCGTACAGTTGAAACAAACTTTCATTTCTCGTTACTTCATTCTTTCAATTTGAACTCTGCCTGCCCGTTACCCAGAAATTACTCGTTAAATGCATACGCGATCAGAGTGACAAGAAGAAGTTAACTTTAAATCGTTTGGAGCAATTTGTAGTTATTCGTACTGATTTGATAAATCGTTAATGTGTTTATTTACGAAAAGGGGTCGAAAATATTCGTGCTTGGGAAAGAGGAATTGATAGTATACGTGCAGGCATGCGTAACGGGTTGCATATCTCCGGTGGTAATTTTTCGTTTGTATGCTGCTGAGTGGTTGTAGCATCGCGAATTTGAAAATTGTTACAGAGAGTAGACGAGGTGAACAAAGTCCAAATTATGGGGGTAAATGACCCCCGAAAGAACTTTCAGGCATCTGCTTTCGATTAAGTAATATTTTTGCCCTAAATCTTCGTTCATATGTTATGAGTTATCGTAGTAAATTACAATCTTATAAAAATTGTACGCAATATCGTGTGTAAGAATCTATACTTAAAGATGTTAGATAATAAAGAAAAACTATAACTGCCATTAAATAAAAACAATTTTATCAAAACAGAAAGCCTTTTGCTTCACGATTCGTCGATAAATCCGTTACCAATATAAAGTTTGAAACTTGAAAATTGTGTAACACGAGGTTACGTAACTTTAATTTACGTCCAGATAAATTCGATCTGGTTTCGTTCGTATCGATACGACGATAATGGAAGCATAATTTTATTGTAACTTTTTACCATTGCGTGGGACACTGCCATCTTTGGTTAGAATATCGTGTCGATATAATTAACCAATAATAATTTGATCACGCGACAAGATGTTTACGTACAACTTTATCTTATCGTGGAACGTACTATGGAAGTTTCTCGAAAAGCAAGATATTGTCACAGTCGACTTTAGCACGAACCATACTGAACGAGAAAGCAGCAAAGCTGCGAGAGTCCATTTTGCACTGGATAAAGAAAGAGGCACAGATACTCCATACTCTTTCTACCAAGTGCAAAATCAGACTCTCGCGATTTTACTGTTTCAGCATGGTTAGTACTAGAATTGGCTGTAACATTTGTTCCCCTCGAGTCCCCTCAAATGGCATGAATTAATGATACGTGGTACATATACAGGGTGTCCAATTTAAATCGTACCCAATCGAATATCTTCGAAAGTGTGAAAGATCAACTGTATATTTTAGACTTCTTCAAAATCTATCGGTCTTTACGATTTAGTTCTGATTCTACCCAAAAAATGCTTATCTCGGTCACGACTGCACCTTGCTAGATAAAGATAAACCGAATATAAATATTTACATCTAGTCTCTGTGCAAGCCATTGTTATATCCCCTACATAGTTACTATCTCGGTATTTCTCTCGTAAGTTTCGAACAAAGCCCTAAACGGTTTTTCGTTCGATCGTTAAAATCTGGGACACCTTGTAGAACCGGCGATAAAAATTACATACCGGGGATACCGGCTTCGCAGTGCTACGCACGCTACGCTTGGTTTTATTCGTACAAATATGACACAGCTTTTGTTAAACGCAAGTAATACTAATTGAACTGTTGAAACGCACGCCGTTCGTTCGTTGGTTTTCTGGATAATTGCATAGTGTGTTGCGTACACAATAATTACAATTACCGTGCGACGCAACTTGTTTCTCACGTTCGTCCCGATTTTCTTTCCTTTCCCTTCGCTGCGCCATTCGATCGTAAGATATCACGCGAATAAAGTCGTACAGTCGTTCGCGATTTCACCTCGAGTGCCTGGGGCTGTTCGCGATAATTTTTTGTTTTTGCGTTCGGTACATGTGCGATATCGATATGAACTATCGTGCTTGTCTGCTATTTTCATTTGTTATATCGCTTTCAGCTGCACTGATCGCGAAGAAACCTCTGATAGAAATTGGTACACGACTCGCGTCCTCCATGGCTCAAGCACTTCAAACTCACGGCGTAGTGCCAGACGTGGTCGACAAAGTGCCACAAAATGTATTGAGCGTCACGTACCCTAACAACCTCTCAGTGGAAATTGGTAAAGTGCTGACCCCGACACAGGTCAAGGATCAACCTACCGTCACTTGGACCGCAGAGGCAAACGCCTATTATACTCTTTGCATGACCGGTACGTACTTCCAACAAAACTAGAAACACTCTTGAGCTAGCTATCGTTAAAATGTTACTTGGACAATCTGTTCTTTTAGATCCCGATGCACCGAGCAGAAAAACCCCAACGTTTCGCGAGTGGCACCATTGGCTGGTAGGAAACATTCCTGGCTCCGATGTCTCTAAAGGGGAAGTGCTCTCCGAATACATCGGCTCTGGCCCTCCCCAGGACACTGGGCTTCATCGTTACGTATTTCTCTTGTACAAGCAGCCTGGGAAGCTTACCTTCGACGAGAAACGTCTTACCAATAGAAGCGGGGACGATCGAGCAAAATTCTCTATAAAGAAGTTTGCTGCTAAATACAATCTTGGCGATCCCATTGCTGGGAACATGTACCAAGCAGAATTTGACGACTACGTTCCTCTTCTCTACAAACAACTGGGTGCCTAAAACATTAATATTACACATGTAAGCTCTTGTAAAGGATGGTCTTATTAAATTTCTAGTTTATCCAACAAGTTCTTTCTTTTCTTTATACCCTAAAAACTTGTTTCTGCACGCTTGGTATATCAAAGTGTACTTAAGCATGTGCACTTTCAGCTTGTAAGTACAAGTTCGTTTGCAAATTAGTTTCTACGTTTTTAAAGTATTTGTTCAGGGCATTGAGAGTCTCTGTTAGATTTAGCAGATCTTTTTTAGGAAGAAGGAACTTTTGTTCTGTAACTACTGTTTCGTGTTTGAGATTTGAGACTTTCACGGCCGGAGTTAGCGTTAGTATTCATGGCTTCCGGATGGGTTAGCGTGTCTGAGCATAATTGGTGACCATGGATCTTATAAAAGGACTTCCTGAAACCATGAGGCTTCGGTATTTCTTAACCCTGAAAATGCAAACTGAAACGTTGACGCCTACATTTATCCAGGAACCATAAGTCTTGATACCACGATAGGATTGAATTTATTAACAGGTTTGACACCTGTTTTGTTTTCATTACTATAGGTTTCACTTAGAGTGCCGGTTATAGCGTAACAATTCCCTGTCAGAGCTACAGATTAGAAAGGAGAAAGAGGGAGTCGCGAATGTTCAGACTATTGACGGAGGGGGACAGATCAGAGAATAAAACTGTTCTCCCCTGACGTTCGAATCAGAAGTTTCTTGTCCCCCGAGCGTGCTTCGAATAACGAAACGAGAATGAAGTATTTTATGATAGGTGCGTGCATGTTACGTTTCAACATTTGTTCCGACATCACCGTGAACTAAAAACGTGTATGATTGATTTCAGTTGTTTTTATTTGCGGTGTCCACGTTGTCGCGGCTGCGAACGTTAAATCGGATTTCGAGGGAGCAAAGATCGTCCCGGACATAATAGACGCGGCGCCCAGCGAAAAAATCGAGGTACCGATTTCTACGATATCGAAAAGGATCGTACGCGATACGAGCATAATGACAAATATGTACGATTCAGGTCAAGTACGGAGACAAAGTGGTCGACTTTGGGAATGAACTAACGCCGACAGACACGCAACAGATCCCCGAGATCCATTACAAACACGATGGCGGAGTTCTCTACACTCTCGTGATGACTGGTAAGTTCCCTGGTCAAGAGAGAGTCAAAAATTTATTTGAACGACGGATGACGGATCGTATTGTCCAAAAGAATCCCTTTAACGACAAACTATAACCATATTTTATCCGAATAAAAATTTAACCCATCTCTGTCTCCGGAGTCGCTTCGACTAGAGAGCAGGACTTGACCTTAATTTATCTTCGCATTTATTTACATCACGGCTCGCCTGTTGACTTTCACCGCGGTCTGCGCCGAGGAAACCTGTTCTTTTGCACGGCCATCTTCGTGGCGGTTCGTGGCCGGTCATTGATTCGTTACCTTTGCACGCAGACCCCGACGCTCCCACGCGAAAAGGTTACAACCGAGAATTTCGGCACTGGTTGGTCGGGAACATACCGGAGGAGAACGTTGCGAAGGGGGAGGTGCTAGCGGAATACGTTGGACCAGCGCCACCGAAGGGATCTGGAAAACATCGTTACGTCTTCCTGGTCTACAAACAGAATCAAGGATCCATCACGTTCGACGAGAGAAGACTGAGCAACAGGTAAAGGCGTTTCTCTCGTCGAACCACTGTTTTACACGTTTATACAAAGAGAAGTGACTTTTTGCACAGTAGCAGATGTTGAGGAACTAAAATCAACGGTATCTGGGCTTATAACTTTTCCCAGTTGCGTGGGACAGCCCTGCGCGCAAGTACAAAAATTTTATTTCATGTGGGTGACATGTTTGCAGGGACGGCCCGCAACGGAAGCGATTCTCCATAAAGAAGTTCGCGGAGAAATACAGTCTGGAGGGCCCGATAGCAGGCAACTTTATGATCGCGGAATACGACGACAACGTACCCAAGTACTCGAAGCTTCTGGGATTTTAAGGGCTCGCAGGGCCGCGGTTTCACTCTATTATATACAGGTGGTGGTACGAACGGTAACTCGAGCGCAGTTGCTGCACGCGCGACACGCATAACCATTAACGCATTGTGTATGTACAGTTTGCCGGACAGACACGGTGGAGCGGGACAATAAAAACTTGGATGGTGGATAGATACGAGAAAATCGGTCGATTCCGTTTATTATTTCGTTGGTGTCGTTATAAATATAAAATGTACCCTATGTAGATTTCGAAAGCGACTCGTGGATGGCTCTGTTTCGCGAGTCGTTTCTTCGTCCGAATCGTCTCGTTGCGAGCGATGCCTGCGCGAGAGTCCCGTGTGGCTCGCCTCGCGCGATCGATTCGTAGAAAAATCGAATCTCCGATGTATCTCTTGGTACGCGTTCTGGGTGCGACGACTAGAGTACGATACGATATGCTAAGCAAGGATTCACCGTGATCCCCGCGACGATCGCGAACGCTAACCTGTCGGGTTACAATCGCGAGACCGAAATCGAGTCGTCGCCGTGCGAATCGTTCGATAACCTTGGCACGAAGACGACCGTAAGTACTAACAAGGACCACATCCCTCGACGCACGTTCCACTGGGACAATCAGATTTTGTACAATAATAGAGCTTCGACGTAACGAAGCCAACGATTATGGCTTTGCGGGTATACGGTTCATTGCTAAAACATAGATGATGCAATGACGCTTGTATTCGATTTCAAAACAGTCTTAACAGCCACCCCTAATCTCGGTTTCCTGTTTTGAGGCCTTTTCTCGAAAATATATATTTCTCTTGTTCTCTGTTTCTTTTATTACACGACCTTCCTATCACTTACGTTTGAACGTTACTATTATTACTATTATCTACTAATTCTTCAAAGAAAGGCACGTTCTGACCATACAAAGGTTTTTATGCGAGTATTAAAGTTGAATTTCTTTTTGTAATTACTAAACCTAATTAATATTTATGAGTCGCAAAAATTGGCAATAAACCATAATAATGTAAGAAAACTGAACTTTCTGTACACGTAAATACATAAACATTACATAAGATATATATCTACATATATTTTATACAGGCGACAGAAAAGTATGGGTATTGTAAGCATCAAGGGCCTACACCGCCCTTGAGTGGTCAGCCGACACTATCAACGAGAAGCCACACAGGTCCACATGATGTATGCATGTGTATGTATTGTAAATGGATGGTAACTAAATATAAACAAGAGTACGAGGAAGTCAAAGGCCGTTCCAGCTTGACTCCTTATAGAGAGCATATCCGTCAAATAAAGATCTCATTTATAAAAACTTAGTCTTTTCACTCTGTCTCCGTACAGAACGCTGTGCAAAATTGTAAAAGTGCAAGTATTATTTTTTCCTTCTGTATATTCTCTATTCATATATGTATATATACGTTTCTATTATAATTACGTCTGTTCTCTATTTTTTAAAATTTGAATCAAACTCTTCATTCTGCAAATAAGCATAAAATAAAGCAACAGAATACAAGTATTTCCAATGTACAAACGTAAGTAACGGGATGGTCGTATAATAAAAAGTGTGTAAGCAAGAAATATGTATTATCAGAGAAAGCAACAAACTAACCAGAAACTTGCGGTGAAGGGCAGCTACCTTACGCTTTCTTTGGAAACTGTTTCCATCGTCAGGACCATAGAAGCTCCGATTTCAGGTAGGTAAATAATAAATGCTGTGTTTATTACTAAAAGTTCTATTGGTGTGCAAAACCTCGCTGACTAGTCAGACTTGCGCCGAGGGACGCGAAACTTGCAAGATGCTAAGGGTATCGTGCGACACGACAAGCGGCAAAGGACAAAACGATACTGTCGGTGAAAATGATTAGAGACGTTCGCGCGCGATCGATAAAATCGTTTCGACCGACGCGACGGAGTTTCACGCCGACACTAAGGAACTTGTTAAAGGAGAGTCTCTCGTTCGAGACACGAAACAAGACGCGAGACGACGCGTGGCGAGGCGAGGCGAGGTTAGGTTAGACGTAGCGTAGTATGGCATGGTGAGGCTTTTTTCCCCGTGACAGAGAGTCCCGAGAACGACACTGGATCCGCACGACCCGATCGTGATTCGGAAGTTCAAGGCAAAACCAGATCCGGATAAACGGTAATGTTCCAACAGAGTCGATGATCTCGAACGTCCCCCCAACCGCCGTTGCCTTTTCGGAGCTTCGTCTTTTTTGCGGTGCCGGCCACGGTTAGCGTCAACCGCGTAGGAAACAGATGATCCTGGGCGGCCTTCAGTACGTTTTGGACCTTCGCTATCGTGGCGGTCGATTCACAGTTGGTCTTCTTATGGTGAACACCACTGAAACGATTGTCACTATGAAACCTACGTCCGCCACTGAATACAGTTCGATAGGGCCGACGGATTACGAATGCAGCCATCTTTAAAAGAAGCTCGACGCGCCACCTGCCCGTTGATCGAACGAACTATTCTGGGCAGGTTGTTGGAGCGTCCCAGAGCGGGGCCAGAATTGTTTTTAGCTGTTCAGACTTTAAACTTAATAATACCCGAACCCGATCAATTTTATTATTTTGGTATTGCTTCGTCTTACCATTCCCCGATGTGGAAGACCCTAGGCGCCCTCATCATCATCGTGATCAAGCCGGACTCGGTGCGCGGCGCGATTCCGGCTCCTTTGCTAGGCGGTACGCAGGTTTGCGCGATGTGTTGCAGACTCCAGTCCCAATTGTAGTCATCGTACGAGCAGAACTGCGCGGCGCACTTTCGTAATTTGTTCCACGTGACGCGATTGAATGCCATTCCCATGTTGTGTTTGCTCGAGATCCAAGGGATCACCTCGGCCTGTCGGGCGGAAACGACGAGTCTAGTTTTGTTATCGTTGCTTGGGGAACCGTGACGGGAGCAGAGGGGGGCATGGTCGGGCAATATGTAACCCGATTAATAATTCGCGATTGTAATTGCAAACCGTTCGTCGGAATACATATTGCCCAATTCCGATGGAGGGAACGGGAATAATTTCGCGGGGCGATCGATACGTGCGTGATGATCGTGATCGCGATCGTAGTGATTGAGTCGCTTGGCCGGGCAATTTTTCATGTTGTCGAATTTCGAAAATTTCGGAAGGGGGCTGTGGGTCGACGTGAGCGCGAATTGGTAGGGACTGATCTCGCGAGACGAATCATATGACGTCAACTTTTCTTTATTATTGTTCTAAGAAATACTAGATCCTCGTCGAAAGAATCCAACACAAGTTTTTTTTACGACTGGTCTAGTAGTTATTGGAAATGCCGATTTCACGACAAGATTGCGATTACTCTCCTGCATCGAGCCCATTATACCATGTATAGTGCACGCTGTCGTGAAAGAAAGACCTTCCTTGCAAGTAGTATTGGGTCAGACATAATAGTCAGCCTTTGTAAGGTAAACTCGACGCAGCCACATTCTACTTGTAGCACCGCATTCCCCTTAATCGGGTACGTTTCTTTCCCCCTACAACAATTTATACCGTGGAAGAATTATATCTGAACCGATTATTAACTGTAGAATAATAAATCCATCCTCGGTGAGTTTAGTTTCTCTATACGTATAATCCCCCTACGAATCTTTGCATTTACCTTCAACAATAATAGCTATGTCTGTAATGAGCCTGTCTCTAGATTGCATTCACACGCAAAACATATCTGCCCTTATTGTTGTTGCACCGAAATACATAAATTTTCTACAATCCCTGTCGTTGAATTTGTTTAATACGAGCTACGTCGCTCTTCAACTAAAAATATATTGTCTCAATGATCGATATGTGACTCTCTCGAACAGGAATCGTCGAAAGATGTCGGCAACCTTTTGATAATGACTGTAGAGACCGGGTAGGAGCTGGAAAGCCCATGCGGGAGCAGGTTGCGCCGTCAGCGCGTTCCGACTGGCGGTTAAAATGGCGCCGCCGGTGCCGGTACCGGTCGCACTGGAGTTTCCGGCGGTGCTCGTGCCAGTGGCGACGCTGCTGCTAGGAAATGCTCCGCTGCCGATGCCCTCGACCCTTGCAGGCAGCTGCCCCGATGTTTCCCGCCTCTTAAATCCGCGCAGGAGCTCCTTTTGCAGGGCGCTGTTGACGCCAAGGAACTAATGGACGGGGCGTGCGTGAAACATCGACACACAGATATTCACACTCAGAGATGGAGCCACTGTTCGTTACGGACGGTACGCACCCTATCGTCGACCGATTCGCACGCGCTCGCGTTACACGCGACATGATAACCATCGACTACTCGCATGCCACCCCGTGATTCGATCCATTATTCCAACCCATTTACCTATAATTACGACCGATAATGAAACGAGATCGTGCCGCCGAACGCAACGACTCGACGGACCAACTTTTTCGAGTCGAAACCGCGATACGACGTGGGAAAATGGCGACGAACAGGCATGGAAATATACATATATATATATATATCGATCGCGATCGAGGCGAGATATCGACCGGTGGGGACGTGACGTGAAGAATCCATAGAGTTATATAGGTAGAACGAGCGCTCTCGCGCGGACGTTTACGACACTGAAGAACAGAGATACTGCTGCAGGCAATACGTTCTCCGCTGCATGGTAATATAACGGTCGGGACAGTGAGAGAAGCATCGGATTTTATTCCATCGCACCAGCCACGCAAGTCTGACTCCACGAATGCAATAACGAAGCACGATAATGTAAATACGAACGTTAACGTTTCTCTTTGTAATAAAAGATTATATAAAGAAATCCAATGGTGGTGACCCTGTTTATCCTACTGTCCCCTAAACTGAATGCATCGACGGAGAAGGATAGCACGACAATGCGGTTTAAACGTCGCATTCAACGCGCCCGACGGACCGTCCGTTCTATTACATAAATCTATGGGTGAATCTCGCGTTCGATTACGGCCTCGAAATCGTGGACCGAGCGACGCGATATCGATTCGCGATTCTCACCTTTCGACTAAAATCGGCGAAGTAATTGTACGTCTTGAGATAAGTGCCCAGGGACAGGACGTTGCATCGCTCGCAGCTGTGCTTGCAGGTCCGTTCCATCAGTCTGAGAACGTGTAAAAAGTCTTCGGCGACGTAATGATCCTCCTCGAGGAACAGTACCATACCGGTGTGGTTCCTCGTGATCGACAGCTGATCGAACACGCGATTGGCCTTCCACCACCAGTGGTGCTTCGTCTGCGTGAACTTGGCCTCGCGGTAGTGCCCGTAGAGGTCCGGATGTTTCGCGTTTATGCATCCGAGGTCCAACGCTCTGGCAAGAATGTAAGTTTAACTGTTTAGGTGCTGTTAACGGCCAGAGGCGTGCGTCGCGTTCGCCAATGTGGAACGTATGTTTAACACCTATTTAACATTCGGCGAATATACGATAGAATCGCGATTATTTCGAAAGAAACGGGACTATACATTCCTGCAACGAACGAAGTCCGTGCGGTGATCGAGGTAATCTAATAAGGAGACCCGTTACACGCAATATACAGGGTGTGCCGGCAACGGTGGTACCATTATTCGTTAACAGACAACTCGAAAGCGAAGATTAACATTTCTTATTATAAATAAACATTTGTCGTCAATGGATTCTAATTTTTTGCCCATTCTTGATAGAGGGTCAGTCGGGCAAACGTGGAACGTGTCTACTTGCCAGCATAGGTTAGAATCGAGTGTAGAGAAAAATTGAGTCGACCTGCAAGCTGCGGTCATAATGGAAATCGATCAGCGAGCTGCGGTCGCGTGTTATTTTACGGTGCAGTTTTATCGACCCTTTTTTTTTTGCATTTAATTTTATCGAATCAGGTTCTGTCGCTCTCTTAATTCGCCTCTTGTCGCGGAAAAATTAAACACTTTCTTTCACACCCCATTTGAAACGCATTACGCCCACTCCCCAAGGGTTACGCCCCCGCTTTGGAAAACACTGTTAGTTGACCCGATCGGTCGGGGCTTATCTACCGCAGTGTTTCTCACCAGACTGTTAAAATTCGAACAAGTGTGTTAAAATGTTTAATTAGTTACGAAACAACAGCTACTTTTCGAGCATTACCTTTCCTGACAAAGTTTGCTCATCGTAGAATGCTACAAATAATCTACGAGCACGTTTTTCATTGAGCAATTATTCATTGTGGAAATATGTTAAACGAAAGGCCTTGATGAAAAAGATATACAGGTTTAGCGTCCTTGATCTTTAAAGTCCTGTTTACGCAAATGAAAGCACTGACATAACTTTTGTACATATTTAACGGAGGTGCTATCTTCAGAGAAACAGTTTTAAATTATATTTGTAAAACGAGTATTTAGACTCCAAGGACTGCTTAAACAATTTTCTTATATTTATTAGGTTTACGGAAAGGCGAAGTTTGAGAAACACTGATCTAACAGATCCTGCCTCAGACGTGACGCTATTACGCGTTCGAGCAGTCTCCAATTACTCGATAGTTTGTTATCAGGTCATCTCACGAGTGATGCCAGTATTTTTTATCGATCTCCCAAGGAGTTTTTTAATAATATCCGGTACAAAAGAGAAAAAATGTCTTGTTATGTAGTTTCAGACAAAATTTCGGGATGAACAATGCGACAGTCTATTCGTTTGTTGTATAGATGAACAAGGTAAATAAAATACTCACTGTTCCTTGCGAATGTTTCGTGGGCAATCGTTGGGGTCTTCTCCAGGAAAGGTCCGAGGATGCGTCTGTATGCTGTGGGGGTAAAATATTTGCATCACGCGACAAAAGTCGACGCTCTGTACGAGATAGTTGATGTCAGGATGCCAGACGTCGTGGCTGAAGACGAGGAGGGTCTGCTCGATGCCTTTGGCCTGTGCCAACGACACGATCAGGTGCCTGAGGTAGATGAGACGCGTGTGCACCTGGACCACTATCACGGGGGCGTCGATGTCCAGGGGCCCGAACGCCTCCTCGTTGTACACCCTTTGCTCTGCATTCGATTTCTCAATGTTGCGCCGAATTTCCGCGATCTCGAACTCCGTCAGAGCCTCCGAGCTCGAATTCGACGTCGTCGAGCTACCGTTTCTACGGTCCTTGAGAAATCTGCGACAGACGAATCGAATAGGTTAGTTCGAGCATCGATGCGGATCCAGGAGAAAGCAGATCATACTCAACAGTGGCGAAATCTTAAAAAAATATATGTAAAATCCAACTAGATTGCTAATAGTTACTAAGGATCGGCTCCTGGATCGAAAACCCAATCGACCCGGTTAACTGAAACGTCCAACGCCCACTTTTGTTTCAGTTATCCGGGTGATGCGGTATTTGGAGAAACTTTCAGCCTGTTTTCATAGTATTTGAACGGTTTTCCACTAACCTGTGCAATTCTTGAGGCACGAGGGCGAACAACGTTTCGTTCGACGAGGCCTGGCCAGCCGAGTCTCGACCCGTCAGGCTGATCACGTGCAGCTGAAGCCAAAGAAACGTCGCCAGGAATACGAAAACGAGCGTTCTCAGAAAAGTTCCACGGACCGATCTTACCGTTCCTAGTAGCGCAACTCCTGCAAACGTTTCACGATGCAGTTTCACGCGAACGAACAAATTCACGACAACAACTAATTCCATCGGTAGCGAAATTTACGGTAATTACATAGAAAAGGGGAGTCTCACAGATTTCGATGATGTTTGAATACGTTGTAACCCCTAAGAAAAATGATAATGGGAGATTTTAGAGGCCAAAATAAGACGAAAATCAAGAATACCAATTTGTCGATGGGGGCTTCGTTAAAAAGTTATTAACAATTAAATTCAAAAATTTCAAATCGTTGTGGAAAAATTATTTTCGGTTGCGGGGGTCAATTACAATTATTTTTAGTTATTATACATACTCCAGAAATCCTATCCACTTTCGAGAAAAAAATTCGGATAGGTGCTGAAATTTTTCGGCGAAAAAACAATTTTTCAAATCGTTCCAAAAAAATTATTTTCGGTTGTGGGGGTCAATTACAATCATTTTTTATGAATAGACATACACCCAAAATCCTGCGCATTTTCAAGAAAAAAATTCGAGAATGTGTGAAATTTTTCGACGGAAAAAAAAAATTTCAAATCGTTCTGGAAAAATTATTTTCCGATTAATCGATATCAATGCAGAACTAGCTTGACACATTATGCATTATTTGTCGTTGTTTGTAATGCCGATTAATACAAATAAAAGAAAAAATCGACTAGCATATACATATAGACAGAATCCATTGTAGTAGCAGCAATCTTTTTGAAGAAAAATCTCGACTAATGAGCGGCGGTTATATGTATAGGAAAAAAGTTGTTCAAAATGTTGATTTCTACGACACATTTAAAAATCACAAAAATCGGTGAAACCTCCCCTTTTCTAAATAATTACCAATTATAATCGTAAGTTGTAAATCCATTCGAGTGGTTAATTCGACTACGGGAAGACAATCGCGGCCTGAACGTCTCTACGTGACATCTGGCGGTCCCGATTTTAAACTTAGACGAGAGTTACGAAATTCCCTCGACTCACCTCTCATCCTGACATTCCTACGCGACCGTTTTGAAACAAGTTTGACAATGCGTTGGGTTGCTTCTCTCTTGCCAGTTTATTTGCCGGTGAATGATCGTTTATGCGTATCGGTAGCTGTTGAGACTGTTGATCGACGATCTTGTCGGCGCCCATCGTTTATCGATCATAATACGAGCGGCCCGCACAACGCGTTCCGTCGCGTCGCGTCGAGTCCTATCGCCAGGGATGCCGGATCGTCTTACCTCGATTCCGAGATTACGCGATGGTCCTTCATTTCGGAGAAATCTGCGAACAAAAATAAACGCAGCTGTCAAGGTTGTTGCGCCGCCGCTTTCCCGGTAGCTTTATTTTCCTAACCTTCAACGCTTCGAATACTATGCTTAATTGGTCGGTATAAAAAACATTTCATCCGTTGCTCTTTATTTGGCACATTCAACCAAACATTGGTTCTCGTCTGTAAATTACTATTTAACGCGTTTACTTCACGGAGACTTCCGAAGCTTCGAATTTAATATTCTATAAAAAGACGAAGTTTGTTTCCTGGATAAAATTTTGTGAAATATCGTTTCTATTAATCGTTCGTTGCGAACCTCCCTCTGCTATATGCATGCCCGCCATTTGCAACTCTGAGTGTGCCTCTGGCGTTCCGTAGCGCCAGGTTCGCGCAAATCGGCTGCATCCGTTCGACGGAAGCTACTTTTCACGGGGTTTTCTTCTTTCATCGCGTTGTGCAGTCGCGGAACACGTTGCCTCGACGTTAAACTTATTTTTAGTACGGCACGCGGACTTGTAGGAAGTCGGAAGAGGGGAGGAGTGGGAGGAAGAAACGGACAGAACGACCGGTCGCGTTGTCGTCGAGCGGCGCTGAATCGAAACTGTACGAAAAGCCACCACGAAACGTCCCGATGGTCGATGTGATTGACCTTAATCGGCGATCGTTGGTCGCAATCACCGCGACGTTTCTCCTCATCATCGATCGGGGTGGTAGGGTCGACCAGGATGCCGGAGACACCGTCTTGGCCAACTGGAGACTCGTGGACGTTCGTGATTCTCGTCGAAAGAAACGGTTTTATTTTTAAGTCTCGGTTTTATCTTGCCAGCCGATACGCGTCTGCTTATTTTCCCTCTAGAATCGCCCAAGCAGCTTCGATTATAACACAAGGTCGTTCAAGGTCACTTTTAGATACCGTTAATTGTCATTGAAAGTAAACGGTTTTTTTAGAACGAATGCGATGTTCGAATTTTTTTTTACTGAGCATGGAGAATCAAAGGATAACGCGTGCAAAGAAAAAAGACCAACGACACCCGGATAATACGAGACCGAGGATCGTTACGGTGCGTGCTGGAATGAATCCAGAAATTATAAAACGTGCACGTGATGCAGCTGTTCAAAGACTGCAATTCTGCACCGATGCTAATGGTCATCGTTCCGATCTATTGTAACGTAAAAAACGCTTACGATAAATTTTAATCGTTTATTTTTCGAATGCATCCAGTGTGACTAAGCATTCTTCGCGTCACGTGTAAATTTCCTGTGCTAATTATATCCTTTGAACTAATCATAAGAGATTAGTACTATACAATTTTATGCAGGGTGCTCGGCCAACCCTGCGAAAAATTTTAATGGGGGATTTTAGGGGCCAAAATAAGATGAAAATCAAGAATACCAATTTGTTGATGGAGGCTTCGTTAAAAAGTTATTAACAATTAAATTCAAAAATTTCAAATCGATCTGGAAAAATTATTTCCGGCCGCGGGGGTGAATTACAATCATTTTTGGTGAATAGACATACCCCCGAAATCCTACTCACTTTCGAGAAAAAAATTCGAGAATATGTGAAATTTTTCGACGGGAAAAAAAAATTTCAAATCTTTCTGGAAAAATTATTTTTGGTTACGGGGGTGAATTACAATCATTTTTGGTGAATAGACATACCCCCGAAATCCTGCGGATTTTCGAGAAAAAAATTCAACACTGGCGGAAGTTTAAACGTTAATAACTTTTTAACGAAGCCTGAGTTAAGAAATTAATATTCTTGACTTTCGTCTTATTTTGGCCTCTAGAATCTCCCATTAGAATTTTTCCCAGGGGTGCCTGTACACCCTGTATACTATTATACTATATGTATAATTGCGCACAATGACCACCGCCAATTGTAATACGTCCTTCTACCCTCCGACTCATCGATTGGGGAACACGTTCGATAATACCAGGAACGTTTCGAATTATTTCGCAATACGAGGAAATGCAGTTGCTTAATAATTAATACTAGGTAAAATAAGTCGTTTCGAATATTCATTCGTATGACCATTTTTTGATGAAACTTATTCGAAACAACCTCTAGAGTTGTAGATTTAAAAAAATATACAAGAGCCCCCCCCCCCCGCTCCCATTAACCAAAAAATCCATTACCTAAATTTTAAATCGGCCAACGTTGAACGATCGTTAAAACTTGAATATTTCTGTTTCTATTTTTAATTTGCACGAGTTTCGAATTCGTGGCACAATTTTTTTGCTAGCCCTCGTTCACGTTTTTAGAACGTCCAGATTCGCTATTGTACACCCGAGTCAGAAATCGATCTTCACGCTGTTCGACGTCGTTTGAACTATGTTTGGGCTGAAAGGACGGGTTGCTCTTAAAAAAATCGTTCATAAGCAGAAAAAATTGCTAAGCATTATGCTTCGCTAAAGTGCACATTGATTGGACTCTCGAGAACAATGGGCTAGAGCAGAGGTTCCCAAACTTTCTGAGCCCACAGCGTTCTTAATTCGCGAACAATATTTTTACAACGTTTATAAATAATTAACAATTATTTTTTTTTTCAAAAGGAATCGTGAATCAGAATGTCTGTGTCGATGTTTCCTTTAATGAATCTATCTAATCTATGTTTCAGTTTTGTCACGCTGTGTCACTTATGTTTATATACAATGCGTTATTAAAATTCTTAATCCATGACTAATCCTATCACCTCTACTCTACCTCCAAGATCTTTAAGAGAGTGTTCCCACTTGGAAACATTTATTTCAAGCAATTTGTAAATATAAATTATTATACAATAATAGACAAAGAATTTTAATATAATTGATATATCATTTGGAATCATTTCCAAAAAGAAAAGGAAAATAACAAATTAAACGTTCTAATACCCCATGATTTCCTTTAGAAATAAATGATGTTAAGCTTTGAATAAGTCTTGAAGTAGGCCTTCGATATAGGCCGAAAGGTAGAATTAATACAATCGATCAATAGAGTTGTTACTTTACCAAACATGCTAGTTAAAGTTTTACATGATTGGGGCACAATAGTTACTACCCATCAATTTACAATTAGTATTGATCGTTCCACGGTATTCGACATATTGACTCCATGCCTCGCAGTGCAGGAATTTATTTAGTTACTTACCTATTTAGTTACTTGCCAGAAATAGGTAACACATAAATATACAGGGTGACTTGGATAATATACTTCCCAATTCTAAATATTAGTTCCCGTGAAAATAGATTGCACGCAATAATAAACAATTCAACGCTACGAAACGTTATCATAATTTACCTTGTGCGTCCAACACCAGACAGAGATTTTCAGTTTACAGTTTAAATAAAAAATAAAACTTTAAATCGCAAGATGAAATTTTTACGGCAAACAAACTTGGAACGAACCATTTTATCGGTCGTAAATTATTCGAATAAAATTTTGCCGATCGCCGGTAATCGTTGCACCTGACTACGGTGAAGCAAAAAAAAACGACGCAAGTATATAAGCTTGTACACACCACAGTGACTGAGTGAATTCATACGTTTCGAAGCTACATACTATCACTGGACAAAATGCTCGAATAAAAGCTAAACAACCGTTTGTTCGTTGCTAATAAAACATTCACGGTGGACAAACAAACTTAGTCGTTTTATCGGTCATTTGTTACTCTCATTGTGCATCGTGAACGAAAAACGGGCTGCAATCATTTAAATTTTTTCTAAACGTCCGTACCGGTCAGTATCGTTATTTTCGTTCGGATTTAGGATTCCACAGAAGCGATCATCTTGTCGATAGCTACGGAACGTAGCCTCCGCGTGCGGTTCTCCAACTGAACGACGGGGCGACCGGGCGCGCTAAGCGAGCGGCGAATATTCGTAACGCGCGAGCACTACTTTATTACACGTCGAACGTCCCGCCAGTTCGTATCGCGGAACTATCGCAAATAAGCAGACTCACTCTGGTTTCCGAGTCCGACGGACCGATCGACGGCGGAACACGCGCGACAAACGTCCACATAAGATCACGCGAAAGCGAAGAATGGAAGGGGTAGCGGAGACGCTGCCCGGCGTAGGATGACGAATCGGAGAAGAGAAGAGAAGAGAAGAGAAGAGGCGACATCGACGAGAAGGTCTCTCGGGATCGCGAGTGGTTTTCCGTAGACGAGCATCGAGTGGCTCGATATACCATTTTGCTCCGTGTGCCTGTGCAATGTAGGTCAGCTGACTTGGCTGGTTGACGCGAAACAATGCGGATATCCGTGAGCAAGCTAACCGCGATATCCTCGGTATGCGGAGCAAGGGAACAGGGACACAGAAAAGAAGAGGGGAAGGCTACTCGAGAGCACACAAGGAGCCCCGCGAGCAATCATCAAACTCTAACTTTCCTTCTTTTCCCTCTCGTTCGTCGCTGTCCTTTGACGGTCCCGTTTTCGTCCCTTCTACGTCCATCCCTCGTTCGGTACGCCGCGTCGGTAACACCACCCGGCTAGGAGCATTCCTTTTAGCGGAGATCTCGTGTAAAAGAGCAGTTCGAAATCGCGCTGTACGTAACCTAACCGTAAAACAGCAGCACAACACCGAGAGTCCCTGATCGACCGCGAAACGTACCGCTAACCAGCGTTTGCGTAGCTGCGTTACGTATCGTGTGACGGTTAATTCGCTTGACGCGCAAATGCGAACGACTGGGACGCGTGTCACGCATCGTTTTCAAGGTGGAATCGAAAAATCTGCCTCGTGGTTTCGAACCACGGCGATTTTTTGCTGACTGGAGCCACGGAGGAGGAAAGGGTCGTGCGTAGATCGTGGTGGAGGGGATTGACGGAGAGGGCGAAAGTACGTGACAGAGGAACGGGGAATATGCGAAACGATGTATACGTATATGTGTGATCGGAATAATGGAATAATTGCACGCGGCCGAGAGGGGCGATTGCACGAAAAGAAACTGGCGAATGGTAGAAAGGGACGACGGGGATGATGGTAGAATATCGATCTGGGGCGCGAGCCCGTAGGCAGGGTTCGTGGCTCGCGGTGTCGTGTATGCTTTGGACGCGTGACGCGTTTACTTACGCAGGTCCACCGTCCGGATGCTCTGATGGAATCGGCAAATCCGCGTTCGCGAAACGTCCTTCGACTCGACTGATCACGTATCGGCGAGCGTATCATGGTAGTTCGCGAGGACCGCGGGGCGGGAGAAGCGACGAGTCATCGCTGCCGCACGTTCCCTCGTCTATTTTCTTCCGTCGGTGCGTGCGGCCTTCTAGTCTTCACGCGTTTGGCTCACCGACTCGCGTGACCATCCGACGAAACTGCGATCGCGCGTTCTTCGAATCGTAACCGAGCGCGAGCACACGATCCCGCCCACCCTCTGCTTCCGTGGCGTTTACCACGCACCCGAGTAACCACGCTGCACGTTGCACGCCCCACGCGTTCACAGGGGTTGCGATTTCCATTCGCGGCGATCGATCTTCCCCAGCCTGCCATCCCTCGGAAATTTTCCATTCGTCGTCCGCCGCACGTGGCGCTGCTGTCGCTCGTCGGTAAAACGAACACTTTTCGGTCGATAATGGCTGCTTCCAACGACACTGTACAGTTGAAATATTGTACACTTCCGTACGATTCCTGTAACACACCAGAGTTATTTTAACTACTGATTTCCTATAACGTAATTCCTCGTACAACGCGCTGTCTAATAAAATGCCGGAATCCCCCCACCGTTTATGCTTTTAGAAAGCGTTGTGCGTCGGAAGTTTTTCACTTCGATAACTCTAGAATTTAACAAAAACTGTACGGTACATCCGTGTAGCAGGATCGTTACGAAAGTGAATAACTGTATGGTAATACGTGTAAATTACGATCATTAGGGCTTTTTGCTCGTTACAGTCGTGATCTCGTTGTTTCCGTGTTCGTTATAACCAAGTTTAACTGCATACAAATATCACCATTGCATATTTGCATTTTATATGAATTATGTCAGTGATGTAACCAGCAAATGCGGGACAAAATGTATCAGACGCTTTAAAAGCTATGGTTTCCAACATTTTTTAAGGAACCCCTCTCCTAAAATAAATAATGCTTATAATGTAACAATTTTTATTGGTTTTGATGGATCAAATTTTCTATTCGTTTAATATGATGAATTATTTAATGAGAGCCTCTGATAAGATAATTACAGGACTCGAATTAATATGAATCAACTGATGTTTGCCTTCCACGTACGACTAGTTACGCCACTGAACCGTACGCAAATACAAGTAGATTATAATCAGATTGTTTGCTCATTACTGCTATAATCACGCGACTTCCGTGCTCGTTATAACTGAGTTTGACTGTAATGAAGACATCATTATGTCTGACTGACTTCAATGAAGACATAATGATGTCTTCATTATTTCTTAGGAGAATAATACATGCCTAAAGTGACGTAAAGGACTAGTCTCAGACTGGCTGCCACGAAGCCTGATTTGTAATGGCGTTGGAAGGCAGAAAGGGAAAAAAAAAAAAAGAAAATGAGTGGATGTTGAAATTTTAAATACTTCAAGCAGAAGTAGCTATCCTGATTGACGACGGCAACGAAGGATTTCTCAATCGATAATTGCAATGGTGTAGTCCTCAACCTTGGCTAAGATGTCAGCCTGTGTCTACGATCTACGTTATCATGATGCAGTGGTGAACTGCATTACCGATTGCTGAATATTGCAAAAAGAGGTTACTTATTGATTCCGATGGTTTTGATAAACATGGATGGGAATATAATTCAGAAGATTCTGATGCCAAAAGTGATTGTCGATCACGCTTGATTTTCAAGATAGAATTATTACAAATCTATTAGAATCCACGCCTAAACGACCGTGAGGTTATACACGCGCGAATGTCGTACTGCCTATCGATAGGGACACTCCGACGAGAAGCAAAGTACACAAGGAAAAAATAATATCTATGTAATCACATTTTGTTTCAAACTTAGAATTGTTTATTCGTCGTTATTGTACGACTATCGTAACTCTATACCGTGAACGGATTTTGTAATCTATTCGAACAGCAAGCAACGAATTAAAAAATTATCAAATATCTCTATGTTTCACACTCTAATTTAAACGAATGTTTTTAGTAATTATTCACAACACAAGAAATATATTATTAACGTGACTATACATATGAATACATAAAATGTACATGTAGGGACAAGATTGTAATAAAGCTGATTGTAGATTCCATAATAACCTATAAAATTTACTGTATCACTCGAAACGATAAAGTTCTCCAGGCGATATTAACGAGTCAGACTAACGATCGTTCCGGCATTGTTCGCTTTACGATTAACGATAAGGTGTACAGCCATTCGATATAGTTCCATCGATCATTTTCGTGATTTACAATTCGATCGAGTACAAAATCGATATCCGACGTAAAAATTTAACGACTGCCTAGTAAAATTTAGCTGTCGGTTTCTGCACCCTCGACACAATTGCATTTGACTTATGGCCAAAATTATTTGGATAATCTATCACTCTATATTAAAATATAATTATTCGAATAACGTTGTTCAAATATTATTATTCGACTATTATTTCTCAAATATTACTGCTCGAATATTCTAATTAAAATATTTCCAATTGAAGCTCATTATTCGAATATTACTATTCCAACGATTGCAGCCAGCAAAAATCCCCCAAGGCGGTGGAAATTAAATGAACGTAAAAAAGTTTGCAAGTCATAGTGGTCGTTACGAGCACTTTATTTAGTACGTACTCGACCTTTGGTTATAGATTTTCCTTAAAAATATTTCATTTTAAGGTTAAGCAAAAATGAAAAGTATTTCGCAAAGACGAAGGTGGTTACTTGTACCAATTTATCGAGTAGGATATTTGCAAACAATTGTAAAAATTTGTAAATTCGATACGGTATTTATTAATTCTAATTTCAAAGCGATCGATCAATCGTCGATTGCATTTTGTCCAACAGTGGCCCTAATCCGATTGTTTCCTTGATGGTTAGGAGAAACAAAGAAGGATTATGGGGAATTGAACAAGGTTGACGGGGTTAGTCTGTATCCTGCTATTGGCTGTTACGTAATTATCGAATATTATAGTGATTTGTCATCGAGGATACACGAAGGCAAATCTTTACCTGCAGAAGAGAAAAGTAATTATTGTTAATCGCGATGGAAGGAGAAGTCGAGGAACACGCGTCGAGATAACGGGAATTGCAATTGCACTTCGAAGTATAAAAACTCTTGATAAACGATACGAGCATTCAAATACCAGTGAACATTCGAACCTGTCCTTTGTTCCAGCTGAACGCCATTACTTCCTCTCTCGAGCTGCAGCCATGAAGACCGTCGCCATCTTCTTCGTCTTCTTCGTCGCCAGCGCCCTGGTAACATTTTCAACATTTTTACAATTATTTTCCCTTAAATTCTTTCACTGTTCCTTTTCCACTTTTTCTACGAATTTCTTTGACAATATTAACACTGCAAAAATAGCATATTTTTTAAACGATATTTAAATTTAAACGAACATTTTTTTTAAACTTTATTTTCATTTAAGATATTTTAGTAACAGCATTGCATAACATAAAATGGTACTTATTGTTACAGGAAAAATTCGTGTTACGTGATTAAGAGATAATTAAATTTTTAGATTTATGCAATTACTTAACCTAAAACCATCAAAAATTTCCGTAGCTAATGAGTAATTATTCCGTATTTTCCTCCTCGTCTAATTAGCTTAATTATGCACATCGATTACTCAACCAAAGAGTACACTAAATCAAGATATTCATAAGATCAAGATGGTGCATTCTATTATACTGTATTTAACATTTTAACTACCGTGGGATGTTCTTTGATTCGCAATAAACGTCCAAAAAGTAGTGGTTAATTTTTAAATGTGAAAAAAATATTTTTGTTATGTTGTAACAAATAAATGACACATCCGACAATGAGTCACGCGAATGATCGACAGACTCTGGTATTACTTTGCGGGTTTAACATTAAAAAAGTTTCTACACTCTGAAACACCTTATATAACGATTATAAAATTAACATTGATTGATCTATTAAAAAATACAAGGCATAAAATGCATTTTAATTTACTTGTTCCTGTATTTAATTGTACCTTGCTTCTTCGTACAGTTTGTTCAATAAATAACAAATAATATACATATTTAATTAATTTTTATCAAATATTTAACTAGTGACAACTTTATTTGTAACTTTTAGGCGGGAATTACGGACGAGCAGAAAGAGAAACTATTCCAGTTCAAAGATGAATGCATGGCGGATACCAAAGTCGACTCTGGTGAGTAAAAAGTAACGTGCATGAGTTAAACAGTTAAGGGCAGATCACAGATTAGCGTATAATTTTCAGAAATGATACACAAAGCACTGGCTGGCGATGACACGGAGAACGAGGGCAAACTTCAATGTTTCGCTGCTTGCATACTGAAGAAGATTGGGATCGTAAGTTAAAAAAACATTTGAGACGGGATCAAAACGATCCGTACGATTCTTTCATTGGATTTATAGCGATTTGTTCACACAGAAAATTTGATAGATCGAATTTCGACTGCCCGCCTCTCAGGTTGTCGCAGCTCGATCGCGACATTGTGACAACCTAAGAGGGAATATTGTACATAATAAGGGGAGACGGGACGAAAGAAACCTCGAAAACTTACGGCGAAATATTCCGAGTCGAATAAGAAATCTATTGAGCAGCAAAAGTTAAATTTTTAATTCTACTTTAGATGGAGCAGGATGGTTCCATTAACGTAGAAGTTGTCAAAAAAAATGCCCCCGCTGATGTTCCCAACGAGCAGATCGAAGAAGTTTTGAACAAATGCAAAGACATCAGTAAGTAGAAAAACGTCGAAACGAAACGGATTCTAGGTAAGTCGTGGTACCGACGATCATTAAATAAAATTAATTGTTATTTTAGCCGGTGCCACTGACTGCGAGAAGGCGGGCAACTTGGTGAAATGTTTCTTGGAGAACAAAACCTTTAATATCTTGAGCTAAATTTTGTACACGCGACAAAAAGGTTATGCAAACATACGAGTGAACGATACAATAGCATAGTGGACTTATTGGCATCGTTAATTGGCATCATTAATTTACCTACATTTATTTTTCAAATTCAATAAACAATTTATTCGCAATAGTCTGTAAACCTTCATTTGTCCTAACTATAAATTCCATTCTGTTTGTATCGAATACAAGACCCTTGTAGAGTAGCCAAACTTGAAAGGTTATGTTACTTATCTCGAGAATAAACAGAAAGGTTATACGATCGTATGGCCAAAAAACGAGGGACGTAGCCAGTATGGGGTAGAGAGGATAAATCATACTAATAAAATAAATACTATTATACGGCTAAATGAAGTTGAATTAAGTTTAAACAATAGAATAAAATAAACGGATAAATTTCTGTTAAATAAGAATGATTTCATTGGTCATCGCTACTCACCATTGGTCAGCAAGTGGTAGAATGTCCAGTGATTATCCTAAACTGGTCAACAGGTAGACCTGACACCATGATCTTCTTACATCTAGGGTGGTCCAGGGTGGACTGAAAATTTTCTACAGCAACGATTCTATGGATGCCTTTCTAAAGGAAAGGGCGATGATAGGGAAGAACGTCGATGTGTCAGCAATTAATTGATCTACCAAAAAATGAATATCATATGAAAAATATGTATAATTATCATTTATACGATACTTGTTATTAAACATTATTGTAACCGTTAATTTAAATTAAAAATTGTTACGATATAAGAATAAAAATATGGATATAATTTTGAAAAATTTTAAAATGTATAATCGAATATTCTTTTGGCATTTTAATATTGTCTACTAACCTCGGATTATGTACAAACACTTTTTCGGCACTTATTAAAATTGAAAGCAGCAACAATTATTAAAGATATGCGAATAATATTCGCACAGTACTTTTCTTTGGGCGAATAATAAATTGTAGTATGAATAAACGGTTCGAACAAACGTCAATGTTCAGCTATGACGAAAAAGTATGTCGTAATGCATACACGTAGGCGGTAATTTCTTTTGAATTGTTCATCTAATGCTCCATGTTCGATAACCAAATCGGTTCCACGTTGAATATGTTTGGAAGATAAGCAATATGGCCACAAAAGAAAGCAATCTTCCTGCTCTTTATGCGGAGTTAAATAAATTCGGGCAAAACGGAGAATACGAGAGGGCCTTAAAAACTGCAAATAAGAGTGAGTTTTTACGAGTCCACGCATTTAATCGATTTTTCTGAACGTATCGTCAACATAACCTATTTTCTACATTCTAAAGACTGCGCTGTACTTAAAACCGAAAATATTTCAGTTCTAGGCATTTCTCAAGATGAGGAAGCTGCTTTCCATTGCAAAATTGTTTGCTGCATACAATTGTCCAAGTTTAACGATGCGCTACAATTCATCATTAAGAACCCAAAACTTGCAACGTATGATTGCCATTTACCATTATATTTCATACCAATGCCCTATCAAATTCTTCTTTATCCACGAGAAATTAATTGACTCTTCTTTTTTGCAGTAACTTACACTTTGAAAAAGCTTATTGCTTGTATCGACTGAACCAAGTGCCCGAATCATTAAAAGTAGTTGATAACGTTCCGAGTCCTTCGCTGAAACTTAAAGAACTCAAAGCACAAATATTGTACAGACTTGAGAAATACGAGCAATGTTTCTCCGTGTACAGAGACATTATAAAACATTCTAATGACGAGTACGAAGATGAAAGGGAAGCAAATCTTGCAGCAGTGACTGTGAATTTAACGATAGAAGATTCTGTAAGTTCTCGATTAATTACAGTTATTCGAATAACGTATAAAAATATTGTCACTTGCGTATTGTTTTAACAGAAATTGGAAGTTCCTGTGTTGCGCGAAGACACGTACGAATTGACGTATAACGCGGCGTGCCGTTTAATCGCGCAAGGTAGCAAAGAAGACAAAACTATGTTAGTAGAAGCGGAGAAAAAGCTTAAAACGGCGGAAAAAATGTGCAAAGAGGGATTGGAGGAAGATGGGGTTGCCGAAGAAGAGATAGAAGATGAGTTAGGGATTATTAGAGTTCAGCTTGGATGCTGCCTTCAGCTCCAAGGTCGTGAGAAAGAAGCTCAAGCGTTATACACTTCTGCCTTAAAAGTGAAACCAGATGACATAGCTTTAGTAGCAGTTGCAAGCAATAATCTCGTGTGCCTCAATAGGGATCAAAATGTTTTCGATAGTAAGAAGAGAATGAAAAGTGCTACCCATGATAGCTTGGAGCATAAACTAACTTCTAGACAAAGGAGAAGCATTGCATACAATCAGTGTTTACTAGCATTATATACTGACCAGGTAGAAATTTGATCAATAATACTTGCATATTTTTCCATATTGCTATTGTTTTGTATCACATGTATATTTCATATATCTATAGGCAGAACAATGTCAGTCACTTTGCAATAAACTTGCCAAGGAACATCCTGTACTAGCTGCAGACGCGATGTTCATTAAGGCAATGCAACTTAGCAAAGAAGGCAAAGCAAAGGAAGCAGCAAAATTATTAACGCAACACGCAATCGGAGAAAAAGAGCTACCAATGAAACTCGTTTGCGTACAATTACTGTTAAGCCACGACGAGAAACAAGAGGCAATTGATATTCTTGAAAGTTTGAACGAAAGGGATAGATCGTTACCGGGTATTGTTAGCGCGCTTGTAACTCTACATATGGCTAACAATAACCGCGAGAAAGCATCTGTTGCTCTTAAAAACGCTGTAAATTATTATAAGAAAAATAAGGTAAGCACGTTTATTACTCGAATTAATTATTTCAGCTTCTCAACGATGGCCATATTAGATTGTACTAATTTTTTCGATTGATATCGATTGATCTCGTTTTTAGGAGACTACTGCTAACTTGGGAGAGTTGTGGCGGCAGGCCGCTGACTTTTATTTACGGGGAGGAGAAATTAAAGTAGCAGCAGACATTTTACAAGAAATGGTAGATGCTTCGCCTTCAGATACCAAGACATTGGCGCAATTAGTAGTAGCATATGTACAATTTTGCCCGGAAAAAGCGCAACTTCTATCGAAACGGTTGCCGCCTCTCCATGATCTTTCAGAGACAACCGACATCGACGCTTTAGAGACTAGTAACTGGGTGATCGGTACCAAAGTGGCCAAGAAAAAGATAGAACCATCTCCTGGGTAAGTATCTTTCATCTTTACCACTAATTTTTCGTATTAAAAGTAGTTTAACTGTCATTCTAATCGGTTGTTTAGCAAACCTACTATCGATGTGACACAAAAGAAACGCAAGAAACGAAAACGCAAAGGAAAATTGCCTAAAAATTACGACCCGAATATTCCACCTGATCCGGAACGATGGTTGCCTAGACACGAACGTAGTGGATTTAGAAAGAAACGCGATAGAAGAAATCGAGATACTGTGATGAAGGGTACTCAGGGTGCTGCCGCGGGAGCTAGCGATCTTTAGTACGTATTAAAATTACACGTACAAGTTGCTGTTTGGTCGTAAAAAGTAAACAAATCTAACCTAAATTTAAAATTGTTACAGCGATATCACTAAAATGCCTACGAACGCAAAACCTTCACCCAATCCGCGTCATAGCTCGGCAGTTGAAACATCAGGACCACGGCAACAACAACGCAAAGTTCAACAGAAAAAGAAAAAGAAGGGCGGCAAATGGTAATCAGTCACTCATATTTGTATTACATTTGAACAAATTATTGTACGAAATATATATTATACTTCTATAATAGTAAGTAATCAAGCGACCTATCTGTTTAACGAATTAAGTAACTTTTTCCAATTATACATGTACCTTTTATGTACAGCACACGATACTGCCATTTTTAAGCTACGGTTAGTATAAATTTTTAATCTCTGGAATTAGGTTTTAACATGTAATCGGATCCTAAGTGGGTTGAAAATATATGCGAACAGTATGGTACATAAAATATTTTTTTATTTCTTTTCTTTTTCGTCAAATTCTTTTGCCAGCTAGTGACAAAATTCTGCAATATAACATACAATATAGGTAACATAATTCTTGCGTACATTGACTAGGATTTGGCGATACATATCTTTATTCCTCTGTTGGTAACAATTGTATATAAAAATACAATCTGTAGTTCTGAGTTTTTGTTTTTCTTAGTAAGTCTGTAATACGTGTAGATATCGTGATTGTGCGTCAGATTTTAACATTCATATAACAGATATATATATATATATATATATGTATATGTGGCATAATTCACAACTACAATATTTTATGTTGCACAGACAATAATAAAATACCACATCATATTTTAATACAGTTTCCACGCCGTGAATTCATCACTCTGTGAAGACACACGTTTTGATTACATATCACTGTAATAAATCGATGTATGTGCACGCACGCGCGTGCTTGTATGTAAAGAGTATTATTATTTTCTACGATTCTAAATTTATTGTCTCGTATTATCATTGCACAACACAGCATTGTTTATCGTCATATATATAAATTTATAACAGAGGCAACTGTCGAGGTAAGAATAACCGTATCATAAAATGTTCTACTTCTGTTTGTAGGTTTTCTAGTGTTAGGGACTAAATCGCCAATCTTGAATATCGCTTAAAATACTCGATATCCTTTCGTTAGAAAATAGTGCAACAGGCACGCTCGTTCAATTGGTCTGGACAATCGTGATATGCATATATGTAGAAAATAAACAAACGCGCTGAAAACTCATTTATCAGTCCTAAGCAAATATGTCCATTACGGTATTTCCGTTATGCCGCACTCATCTATTGGCAAAGTCATCTCCGTGTTCCCAAAACCAATAGCCAAATCAGTTCGACAAAATGCGTTTGTCAAAGATGAAAAATAGATGAGTAAGGCACAAATGCATGTAAATGTCGCGAAACACTTACACATGACGTAAGTAATCTTCAATGTAATGATATTACATTACCAACAGATAATGCTACTTTTCAGGTATTATGCCTTCCCAGACATCCTCTCGTTGTTTATTAGCTAATCGACGTTTTTCTATAAGAAAATGTTTACTTTTCGATACGCTCTGATCACTGTTTCTATAGAGGTTAGGATCAAATAATATATACAAGCGGCCAAACTTAGTTGTCAACTTGTACATGTTATTCGGTTGCATCCTGTATGTAGACGTAGAGAATAAAAATGATTAAATGGTGTTTTACCTTTAGCTTCCCGCAATACATTCTTCTCGTGCTCGCGTTCTTGCCTAGCTGTGGCTAGTTTCACGCCCAAAGCACCCGTGACCAATCGTCTGGCCAATGCCGCGCAAGTTTCTGGACGACTTCTGTAAGGCTGCAAAAATTCTGCGCTTCTTCTTGCTTTCGTTTTACTCAAGGCTGTGGCCTCGCTTAACGGCCTTGTCTTTACGAACGGATGATCCGACGCCAGTACCTCGGCGGCTGAGAACACACCAACCTTGAGCGTTTGTTAATTACGGCATGATCGTAAGCTTGATATGTTTTTAATTACCAACAAGAGGGCTACTGAAGACTCCAAGACAATGCGTGTCGTCTACCCACTTCAGCTCGAAACCGCCGTTCTTGAACGAACTGAAAACAGCGGCTAAATCGCTGGTCTTAAACTCTGACGGGAAATTGTATATCTCGACAACATGAGCAAATTCGTCGCTGGATACTTCGATGTGCTTCGTGAACGATTTGTAATCGCTTTTCGGTTGTTCTATCATAACGTCACCCACTGCCGAAGTTAACTAAACACGAAGTTGTTGTAAAACAATTTTCACTTCTTACCTTCGATCGAACATATCTACGTAAATACTTGCCTCCTCTATGAGCGTTGGATCCAAGCAATCACCGTTGTCATCGAACAAACTATCCCAGTCGCATTCGTCCCTATTTATCTTTTTAATGGGCGGCGAAGGTGGTGGCGCTGGTTTGCTTTTTGACCTTTCAATCTTTTTCGCCTTCTTCTCCGGCGGTATCACAGGAACAGGAGTGACTTTTTTAACAGGTTGCGGTTTCTTTTGTACCGTATCCGAGATAATTAAAACGTCGGATACCATATTGCTATGTATCATTTGCGTATTCTTTTTATTTGTTATTTCATCTTTGTTTAAGTGTTCCTCGTTCTTCTTGTTATTATTTGACGTTGATATTATAACAACATTATCCTTATAATTATCAGACCTTTCTATATCTTCGTTAACATCAACTTCACTATTTACATACGTTTCAACTGTATCTAAACTATTCTTATCCTCGCTAGAATTATTAGACATTTCTTCCTCTTCAACAGTCTGTGATTGAAATAGATCAGTCCTTTCACATTCCGTGTCAGGAGCGGTACTGCAGTCGGATTCATTTGGCACATCCTCGTTTACATTGTCTAGCTGCTCAGATTTTTCTTCGTTACAAGCTTCCATAACAGGTACATCTGTAGAACTCGAAGAAATCGTATCTTTCAAGTCTGTTTGAAGATGCTGACTGGTTTCATTCTCTACATTGTTCTGACATTTGTCAGGGCATGTATTCGATTTCTTTTTCACGCATTCCGCGTTCGTCTGAACATCAGAATCTGTTTCTTTGAGATTTAAGTTTGACTTTGGTTGTCCGTGGGAAACAGAGGAGTTCAAATTGTCTTTAACCATACGATTAGTACGAGTGGATTCTACGGGCTGGGGACTTCCTTCGGTTTCTAAACTTCTACGGTGCCTTGGAACATAGACTGCACGATCAGGCCTTTTCTGTCGGGTAGATCTAAGGGAAACGAGCAAAATTAGTTAAAATATTTCTGTACGATTAGAATGGAAAATTAGTATCTTACTTCACAGTAGAAGATGAATCTATGGTCGAATGCACTTGAACTTGGTCCGTGTTTGTCTGATGTTCATTTCTGGCCCTTCTAGCAGCCGGTGGCCTATAGATCTCAACCGTTGGCACTGACTTTACTAAACAATTAAACGAAACAGCTTATTCCCTATTGTTCCATTGTTGGACGAAATAAAATTCCTGGTAGTCTTTTAATCACCTTGCCTCTGGGCTCGTACACGTTCTGGCGAAGCGGAGGGCGAACGCCGTCCTTCAACGCCCATCTCAAGCAGCGTATCAGTGACTTTCACGTTTGATTTACACTGCACACCATTCAATTTCGGATCCCTTAATAGAAAATTAATACGTTTGTTAACATTAGGCGAGCGTACCTCATAATGTTGGGCAGTCTTCTCGACACATCCGGATAATACGCTACGTGACCTTGAGCAGATCAGTTTCACTTTCGTTCGCCGCTGCTACGCCGTAAGAATTCCACCGCCGTGAATTCATTTCGTAATCGTAAATTCGTTTCATTAGGACTGCTTGTGAATTTCACGCATATTTGACAATTTGTTCTACTTGCATAAGTTTCTAATGTTAATTATGATTTAACTTTACATTCTTTTTTGAGTAGTTTATGGAAAATAGTTGAACGAAAGTGATCCAGAAATTCTAAGCAGTACAACGTGAAATTAAAAAATTGTGCACACAGTAATTACATAAAAACCATTCACTTTATCATTCTTAAGTTGTAAATGGAATTTTTGAGATCCCAATTTGAAGAAAAATCGGAAATAAAATATATTTACGTTCGATCTTATTTGATCGAGACGACAAATAAATTACACTAAATATTTAACCCAGAACAGATTAAACAATCAAATTCGTGTTCCTGTACTTCATTTTATATATTTCATAATTAAGGTTGGCTAAAATGTTTGACTCAGTACTGATACGAAATTCTGTCAAGACTGATATTTGTTCTTCTTACGATAAATTTAGCATACAATCTTCGTTATAAAGATAAATTAAAATGAGAAAAGTAAATTTGTTTGTGGTCGCTAAGTAATCAGAATAAAAAAGTTTGTTCTTCGTATATGAACACATTTTTCGTGTTTAGGGATGTCCCGACATTTATTTGTGTTAAATACGAATAGTTTGGGGGTTCTCTTAATCTTTGAAAATTTTACATGTTTTTTGTCCACAGGATATCATCGACAACAGCTTTATGTAAAAGAAAAATATATTTACAATCTTTTTTAGCAATTTAACAGTATACACTGTGCATCTTTGAAGTTGCATAAAAAACTACTAATGCCTAGTGCCATAATTCTATCGATGTATTAGCGAATTATCGACGGAGGAGAAAACAGATTTGCAGTCAATAGTTCAATGATTTTTAAGCTTCTAGAGCTCACGATCTAGTTTAGAACAGTGATAGCAAATTAATCGAACTTGTATCAATATTATCACGTAACCACATGTTACGGTAAATCTTTAGATGTGTTGAATAATCAAATTGTAAGCTTACAATATACATATACTTACCATACAATCACACCTAACTGTATACCGACGCATCATAGAAAAAACACTCAAGTTTGCTGCTGGTCGCGAAAAGTATCAAGTATTACGCATTTAAAGATAAAAAAAAAGACTGTAATTAGAAATATGTATATTTTCCACTTTACTCTAGTAATTAATTAACTTTACTAGTATACAAGCACGCAAAAGATTCTTGATTTGCCATCACTGCTTCAGAAGATTCTTAATTGTTTAAATTAATTTTAACAACGAATTCCCTAGATCTCTTAGTGAACATTCGCGGCACAGTGTTGCCGGTTTTCCATAATACGCCGCGGTTAAGTATCACTGCACAGCTGATAGATCGGTCGTATCAGCGGGAAAATGAATAAACTCTTGTTTTGTATTATCGTTGATCTAGTGTCACCGTAATGAACGTACAACAGTCTCGATACCTTATCACGTCACTTTTGTAGCACACGACGGTCCGTCTCGCCGAACCCTGGCCGATCGAGAACGTGTGCAGATCGTCGAAACGATCCTGCACCAGCTGGTGTATGATGAACCTCCGATAGTTGTTTACAGGTGGAAAGACGAGTACTCTGCAAAAGTGAAAAGAACCGCGTTACGATCGCCGTTGAAAGTGAGACCGGACTGAGGACGGTCGACGGTGAACGTAACCGCCTTGCCCCGGGCCACGCTGCAGTATCCTGTGTCAGATGAACGCCGGCTGGCCTAACTTTTACATAACGCGACATTTACTTTCTCCTTCGTTCGTTTCCTCGAATTTAGAGTTATCTTAGCGTCCCAATGCCGGCGTTTCGACCGCATTCCGGCCGAATAACGGTCACGTTACCATTTCACGTAACATTCGTATAGGTTATAATCTTCGATCTAGTATTACGTTAATAAGGACGTGTTTCTTTCATATTCTTTGTCACGCGTAATTGCTATCAAGGTGAAAGCACTGGTCGAGCATGTACCAGTAGTTGACACCTCTGAAAAACAAGAATTAAAACTAAGGGCACCGGCGGTCATGCTCACAATAGAAAGCCATCATTGGGCAGCCATTGTGGCTGTATTTTTTACTCCGTCACTGTTTTAAAACAATTTGAATATGTCTTGTAACGGTGTTTACGGAGCAAGTATCGAAAACCACTGCCTTATATGGTCAGCTACTGGTACACTCCAATTTTTACTAAATATAAGCTACCAACAAATTTAAACAAATTTTACGTAACAATTCTACCTGAAACTGACCGTTACTTTTAACGGGCGAAACGTTATTCACAGCTAGCGGGAAATAGCGCAGCAAAGGCGTATATTATGTGAGGCATGAAAAAGACTGTACATGAGTGGACAGGACAAACAAGGAAAAAGAATGGAACAGACAAGTTTTTTTTTCTTTTTTACACGTATGAATAGATCCCAATTAAAGGGATCGAAATTACAGAGCAATTAATTGAAATGTTTTTATATATATTGTTCAATACACATTAGAACTTAAAAGCTCAGACTTTATTTATTTTTAATTTGTAATAAGGGGGTGTACTAGATTACTTGCAGGCAATGACCGTCCCTCTTATTCAAGAATTTATTTCTTATAAATTCTCATTGTTGTTTACAATATACGAACTTTTATTATACAAGTTCCGTTTCGACTCTTTGAACGGAGCATATTAAAAAAGTTCCATAACTGTTTCAATATAAAGCAACTCTAAAATGGGCGGTACGACCCTTAGAAAGTGAAAGTGTCTTACAGATCCAGGGGACGCGAAAGCTAATCTCTATAATAATAATAATTAAAGTTTAACATTTTCCTAGAATTTTTTTAAACCTACCTATAACATTGTTAATGTTTCAAATTTTACCAGAATATTTTACAGTATCTTAAAGATATATCCATAATAAAAATTTATTTGATCTCATATTACCGGAGATAGATTTTCACCTTTACCGATGTTCCACGTTACGCGATAGTTAAATTACATGCTAACCGTTCAGGTGGAACGAAGCGTGTAGCGCGATAAATCGGTTCTATCCTTCCCCTTTACCCATCCCCTTGCCCGGATGAAAGCTGAGAAGAAAAAGAAATCGACTCGCCGGTACAAGCAAAAACGACCAACCCCGCGTGGAGTAAGTTCGATTTATTAATTACGTCCAACGAGTGACCAAACGAACGAGCCTTGAACTACAAAGAAAAAAAGAGACCGCAGTCGCGTAAGCGTTGCGTGGTTCACGTAATCACGCGTATACGTGAACGACATACGCTAAGCGGGCAGCGCAGCCAGTAGATTAACAATCGTCGTTGCAGAGGACCTGTTCAAAAACGGACCAACTTGGTTTCCCTCGTGCGTGATTTCAGTAATTATGCAATATCGCACGCAACAACACCGCTTTCAACCTTATTTACATCAATTGCGTCCTATCTGTACGCATTCGTAAAACAGAAACACCTGGAAAAATTTGTTCCGTTATTTACGGTTATGAAATCTGTATATTGGTGATTACGAAAGAAATTATAATCGGAAAGTGTATTCAGTGCATGTAAATCGCTCACTGTCGTATCGAAGAAATGAGTATTATTGCACAATATTTTCACTGGAATTTAACTTTTGTTGTCGCTGAATGATAATACGTTCTATCGAACTTTGGATTCCGTGCAAATTTTCTTTAATCGTTCAACGGCGGATGCAAGTTCATTTGTCCATGAAAGGGTATTTAACCAATATCCGTAACTCAAAAACCCGACTACCTTATTGATAATTACGCTTTGTACATTCGTAAGGTAATATTAGATAACGTATCAACGCGCGAAATGTTTCTTTATTTTCTTCAGGCAAGGTGCCAGTGGACTTGCGGTTCTTTTATGTTTTTCAAAACGTTATGCAGTTTGCTAAAAATAGAAAGGTTCGACGATGAATAAAAAAGAAGCGTCGTCGTCCGAAGTACGCGGATCACGTCAAAAACGAAGAAACGTGGAATCCAGTAACGTAACGGAACTATCTTCGGAAATACGCACGAGTCAACGATCGTAGTCCGGAAAACGATGATATTAATCATTTAGCGTCGGACCGAGATATTTATAACGGTGCAACTCAGAGGTCGTGAAAGAAGTCGATAACATGTTACACGGTTCTTTGGCGGTTGTATGGTATCGTCTTATCTATTATTCGAAAACCTAACGGCAGTAATATTTGTCTTCGAACACTCAAATAATTGCATGTCAAGGATGCAGATATATATAACCTAAGTCATCCACGCCGTGTGACGTTCGGGAAAGTAACTAAGAACAATCGCAAATTATCTAATTAACGACGTGTGCTATCTTATTTTGTACACCAATGACAGACGTCAAATAATTTAGACTTACATTTTTGCAATTGCAAGTTCAGTGGCTTCTGTAAGGAAAGCTTCCCGGTTTATATCGTCGTAAACATTGACAGAAACCGAAAGCAGGGAATAACGTTCGGAGACACGTTACAAAAGCTACTGATCTAACCTTTAAAGGCGCGTCGTTGCTTTAGGAAACGTGATCGTTTAGCTCTTACCTTTTCCGTTTTTTATCCCTTGAAAACAGAGTCACGTCGTGCTCCACCTCTTCGGAAAAAAGGCTGTCTTGCAAGCTCATTTAATCGCGAAGTTGCACGTAGTACACACATATGAGAAAACACTGGCTCGTCAAATCAAATTCATTGAAAATTAAACGGCTAAATTGCACTTGCCGTGCTGCTGGACAGCAGCAACGGTCTCTAGTAATCACGCATTGACCATTAACTATTTCAGCGTCTACCGCGCATGCGCGGACAAGTTTCAACTTGCTCCACGCTAGCGCATGCGCAGTGTTTCAAACGGTGAACGTGCTCGGTACGAAATTTTGTGTGCAACGCTGGACCCCGTGCTTTCTGCGAATTTATCAAGAAAATTAATGTAAGTTTTAATATTTAAATTGCTGTTGCTTATTTGTCGTCTTTACGAGGTTGTAAACTATTCGTTTAATACATATTTGAAACTCTTTCTCTCAAGATGTGCGAGATACACGACCATTCGGAAAATCGAAATTTGAGCGGCACATTTTGCCAGAGCGGGAGTACATTTTGTCACATACGAGTGAGTATTGTTTATTAATTATACTTTTAAGAACGCTGTAACGAGAATTTATCTGTACCGGTTACGTTTTTCAATTTGGTATTACGTGATAAAATTCGTGTCAGTCATTTGATCGAAATTAATATTCCGTCGATGACCCGCCATTAATTTGGTGACCACGTACAGTTAGATAATCTACCAACGTTCTACGAATTTTTATTTCCTTATATAGTCATAAGAGAGCAAGTCTATTCGATAACCAATGTTTCGTAAAATTGACCAAAGAAAATTCGTAGGTTCGAAACATTGTTTAATGAATTTTCTATAACATTTAAATGTTTAACTGTCGGTAAATACCATCTAAGCGAAGTACGCAGCATTTGCGAGGCACTGATATCGATATCGATTATTTCCGAGACACGGATTCTAGATAGTTTCGTTATAATTATTTTTTTCAATGAATAATAAAATTGGATTAATACTGTACAAAACATATTTATTTAATAATTTATGGAGATACACACATAGTGTACAACGTACAAGCCCTAGCATTCATGAAATGCTGCTACTTTGTAAAGTCGATTTCATTTCATTTCCCTAGAATATTTATATACAATCACACGGTTTTTCGCTTTACACTGTCTGATGAAACAAGTTCATTTACTACAAGCGATAAATGCCCCGCGTTCCGCTCAACACGTCGTTGTCCTTATCAAATCCCTCGAGAAAATATGTCACATCTGATAAAATTCTTTTGTAGCCCGGTATTGAGAGAAATTCGGGGCCGAATTAGAATGTGTACAGTGCGTAAACATACAAAGTTAAAGAGGCCTAGACCCTCGTTGTCTAGACCCAGTTTCTCTTTTTTTCCTTTCTTTCATTCGTCTAATACAAAGCTGCGTCCATGCGCAATGTTATCAGAATTCTGTCAAAAATATTCTATATACAATCAGGGTACGTATCAAAACAATTCACGTCTTAGGATTACGAATAGAAGGGCGACTTTATCCCGTTGTCGATTACGAAAAAACTAATAAACCTTCATCCGCAAAAGACACTAACCGGCATTCTTGTATTTTGTAACGAAGAATGCTTGAAATATTTACTCAAATTGGATATAAGAACACGCAAGGTGTATCACGTCACGGTCACGAGATGCAACATTGCAAATGAAATGTTTACAAAACACGTTGTGCGACACTGAAGTTAAACAGAAACGTCCTCATTTTCTGATAGTGTCGCCATTGCGTTCTTGGACTACTTACACTATTCGTTAGAGAAATCTATACTCGTAAAAAGTAACGCACCGAATTCGAAGAGTCGAGTTAATGTAACTCACATGATACGGTATGCAAACGATTCGGAACCCTAGCTATGAATAGAAAGAAAATATAATCAAGTGTATAATGATGGAATCCCTATTTTTACACGTACGTTGTGCTAATGACTATTGGTATTCTGATTAAGACGATACGGTAGAAAGATGTAAGTCTAAAGCCATTTTCATTTTTTTTTTTTCTTTTCTTGTCGCGAGAAGCCAATCTCTACTTCGAAATTCAATTCTCAAGTTCTTGCTGCGAACACAGAAATAAGTACTACAACGGGCAATATATGAATAGAACTAGGAAACGTATAAAGTAGGTACAGATTCTTTGTGATTTTTCATCGCGTATCGAACACAGAAATATTAGTCTTAAATGTCTATTCGTGGTCTATATTGTAGCCTCAAAGGTGGGTCCCGGAACCTCCATCTCGTTACATAAACAAATTTTAACGTATGGTCCTTACCTAAGAGTTCGTCATTGCACAACATATCAATCTGTAACAGAGGCGTTAACGAATTAGTCATAAGTTTTTATACCATTGTGTAGGTTTTACTTACATCTCGATATCTTTCCATCCCGTTTAGGACTTTCTTGGCAATAAACTTTTTCAAATGCGTAATAGTTGCTTGGGCAGAACATCTAATGAATCTTCGTTTCAACGTCTTTAAATTTGTATTTACACATTCCAAACAGACGTTAACCTGAAAGAAACGTTTATCAATTAATACCGCGAAAAAATAGTTTAAATACAAAGGCAGTATTTCAAGTATCCGTACCTGTTCGTCTGCTCGGTGATAGTCGGATTCAGCATGCGCGTCCGCGCTTGCTTTATCTTCCTCGACTTCCCCTGCATTCGGTAAGATGTCTTTCGGGCAAGGTAAACCTCTCGCTCTATAAAATTCCCTCTCCCTTTTAATTTCATCTGAAAGAAAGTACGCTCGGTTATATGTTTCTCAAGCTTTGTCATCTTTTCTAAAAGCAAAATTACTAACTCTCTTGAAGGTCAGGAACCAATTTGTATACGATATCTTGCATAGTTCTGTCGAAGCTTATATACTGAAGAGGATGCGATTGATGTATCACTATTTGGCATGTCGGGCATGTGTGCTTCTCTTCTAAATGTTTCACCAGGCAGCTTTTGCAAAATGTGTGTAAACATTCCGTGACAGTAGTGGCATCTATCAAATAGCCTCTGCATATCTTGCATGTTATGTGACTATTCAGTGTTTTCAACTTGATTCTTCTCTCCATGGCACTGGTAATCACCATTTAATAAATGTCGTTACCTATGACAACCCACATAAATACTATTGTATTACAGAGGCACGAAATTACTTCAAAATTATTCCACATTGTAACTCGGAGCACGCACGATAATCCGCAGTGTTTTCGTTTTGCGAGAATTGTTAGACAACTGATAACAAAAGTGCGGTGATAGAGCAGTATTGCAGAAAAGGGTCAAAGCCCTCTAACAGTCGAATTCGATAAAAACCCTTCGTACTGTCACGCTGTCTGACGCGACATTTGATCGTCGAGGAACGAAACAAAATACAGTGACCGACGATTGGCAGGAAGAAACAGATTCGGTCACTCAGAAAAAGTGGGTTATCGAATTCTAACCTGAACGTCGAATGTAGCACACAACGGCAACTGTCACTGGTGCTATTCGCCAGGAAATTTCGTGTAAATGGTACGCACCATCCTTCGCATCTTCTGTCGTTGAATCGAAGCTAAATGGAAGAATAGAAAATTAAACGTTCCACTAAAAACCTGGTAAAAACAACTTAGTGTAAATGTGGCTGATGACAACAAAACGAACTGATCCCAGCGCCATCGGTTGCTGTTTAGTCAACTTTTCTGTGGACACGCGGTTCTGTGTTAATGGGGAGGGGGCGGGGTTGACATCCTCTTTCGATCAATCATACTCTCAAGTAGGCTTGTTTAATCGTTTATATTCGTTTAATACGCCGTGTACCTACTTTTTTACACTAGCGCTTAATTGGCTTCGATTTATGGTATTTAGTGCGATGGTAATAATTAGATTATTCAAGAACTCGATGTTACGATGTTATAACTCTTGGTGACACTGTTTAAAAAGAATAAAAAGTCAAATATTTACCAAGCGACAAATGTCAATTCTGTCAAAGTTGTTTGTCAAATTTGATTGCAAAGAAAAGGTATATGTATAGTTGACAACTTATGATTAGCACTCGTTTTTAGATTCTTTTCACAAGTATTTTTAATTGAATAAATAAATTTTTTGGAAATTGGTAAATAAAAAAAAATCCATGATTATGTAAAAGATCTAAAATTAAGTGATTTATTGTTAGATCAGTATATCTTTTAGTATGGTTATGTAGAAAAGGTTCCACTACACTGACTTTAATGACCTAGATACGTGTTGTCAAGGTCAACGTTCTGAATTTTTCACTTATGCGAACAAAATGTATATTTCATACTTTTAATGTTTGAGAAAGGTCGTCGATAGATTCGAGTATAATATAGGTCAAGGTCAAGGTCAAGGTCAAGGTCACCGACGAGGCATACGCTAATATAAATAGGTGCTTGACCTTAGTTTCGGGGATATAGATAAAAGTATTTTTACCTCTGAAACTAAAAATACTCAAAACATTGACCTTGACAACATGTTTTAAGGTTACTGAAATCGCCGAAGCGGATCTTTTTCCGTATTAAAACTTTTAACTACGCTACTCGTGAAATAAAGAAATTTTAAACGATAGCTCCCCATCGAAAACAGCAGGGAATAAAAAGAGAAAAACAAGAGACGTTAAATGATGTGGGTACAGTTCGAATGGTTTATTCGAGATGAAACTCACGTTACAATAATAATCCAATATTTACGCAGAAACTATACATACATTCTACCTTGGTAAATGCTGGTTTACTGGCTACCTTTAGGTGCTGGGTAACAAAAAGAAAATGAAACTTTTAAATAAACAAGTCTGGTGCTATATACAAAAATCTCTGGTTGGCGCACGTTTCCTTTTTTTTTGTTTGTTTGTTTATTACACTCCTCTCTACCAACGTATCGCACATATATATTTTACACAATTGTCGACGATTTCGTTCGAGTTTCTAGGGTCTGAAGGTATACAAAAGAAAGGATCCTAAAATACGTCCTAAGTAACAATATACAGGAAATAAATTATCTACTGCTAAGCACCTCTTTCGCATGCACCATTTATACATCCGTTGCTTCTACATCAACGTGGACGATGTGATCGAATTTGTTCGTGTGCAAAAATGCTCTCGTTGCCTCGGTACAAAATTACACGTCGTTTCCGATACGATTATTCGAATTGTATTGGGAGCACGAGCGTTCGCGTCGATTCTCTCTGGCAAATGGGCGACGGCCGTTTACAGGTCTCGCGTTATTGCAAATTTTACACTGGCGAGCTGTCTAGCCGACGGAGGCCCCGCCCACCCAGGTCAGATCTCTCGCGCTCCCGACTGTACATACGCTCTTCGTCAGCCCGCCTATCTCCAACGAGCGCGCGTGTCATTGGAGCATCGACGGTGCCAATTAGACGCGAGGAACGTCCAATCGGACCGTCCGGCGTCGTTAGAACGCCAAACGAGTCCGTGACTCGCGACCGTCACTTAGAATCTAACTGTTCGCTCCTTCCACGAAGATAAAAATAATCCTAGTAAAATACGCGGTCGTTGTCCATTCAAGTTCGTTCACGTAGAAAACGCCTAACATACACATATTTATCGTTTAACTATGTTACAGCGAAACGTACAATGTTTCATCAATTGACTAGTTATAAACACGTTTGCATCGAGAATAAATCCGTCCCGTTCCCTTCGCGTATCTCTCCCCTTTTTTTCCGTTTCTTTTTACAAGAAAGCCCTGGCGCCGGAACTCCGAGCTTCCGTTCTCTTCACCCCAAGGCACTTATCAATGGCACGGTGATAACATGTACAAAATCGGACGACGTAAAAAGGACACTTTTACACCTCATCGAGGCGGTTCGTTCCTCGTTCGAACAACCCACGAAACCTGAGAAACGTACAAAAATATCCGTGGGAACAATAAACGTTCCAATACTGAGGGATCTCGTCGCGTCTACGACGAATTCGGCAATTGTTTCTGAAAACCTCGCTCTCCCAGTGTATTTAACGACGCAGGAAAATAAATACAGTGTTTTCTCCACGTTATGAAAAAAAAAAAGAAAAAAAAAAAGATCAGTCTCCTCGAAGGCCGGAGTTTGCTTTTCGTTCGATCGACAGTTATTTCTTCGCCTTTGTCCCTTAATTCTACAGAATACGCGCTAACAGGTCAATACTGATTTATATTATTTGGCGTGTTCGCTGGGGTCAGTCGATCGACCTCCGTACACCAGCGTTCCTGAATTAACTTTCTTCGTTCTTCCTCGACCCTCTTTCGTTTTCGTTCGTCGTTCCTCATGGACGTTCGTGTTGTAATAAAAATCGTACACATTCTTCGGTGAAGCCCGATCGCTCGGGGCTAAGAAGTTCACAGCAAGTAGGGGAATTTCTCCTCTCCCTCGTCGTCCGAGGCTTCGCTCGACTCCTGGCTGGAGGGCGGTGTATCCAATTGCGGTAGACCAAGGTCCAGGTACTCCTGAAATCGTTCGAGATTAGAAGACAGAAATTTAATGATTTAAACAATCACTTCAACGATTTCTCACCTCGTTCGCAGTGATCGTTAGTATCCTATCCAGGTCTTCGACCAGTTCCCCGAACATCGGCCTCTCGTTGGGCTGATAGCTCCAGCAGTCCCTCATCAGCATGTATCTGTGACGTATTATTTATCGATAACGACATAGCAACTAAATAACGACACAAGAATTTCGATTAAATCTCCTTACATTTCGATGGAACAACATGGTGGCTTTTCCATTCGATGACCAGTTCTCAGCAACTGGAACAATTTCTCCACGGACGGTACGGACGGATAGGGTGTGCCACCCAGCGTCATGATCTCCCACAACAGAATTCCGTACGACCATCTGTAACATCACAAAAAAAGAAACACTCTTTGATGTTCTCATTCTTGACGAAACAATCAAAAAGACACTTACACGTCGGACTGAGTGGTGTAAACCCGATGGAACAGAGCCTCGGGCGCCATCCACTTAACCGGCAACCGTCCGTCCGTCGTTTTCCTGTAGTAGTCGTGACAATGAATGTCCCTGGCAAGACCGAAGTCAGCGATTTTCAGGACGTACTCGTCGCTGACCAGGACGTTCCTGGCGGCCAGATCCCTGTGGATGCATCGCCTGCTCGCCAGATACTCCATCCCCCTCGCCACTTGATACGCGAACGACACTAAATCCTTTTGCGTCAGGGTTTTCTTCTCCTTGGCCTCTTGCCCGATCGTTGGCTCGTATCCAGAGGACGGTCTGTGGTCTCGTAGGAAATCCCTCAGATTCCCGTGAGGAGCGAACTCCACGACCACGTACAGCGGTCCTCCTTGCGTGCACGCGCCCAACAGATTTATTATGTTCACGTGCTTCCCGATCATCTTCATCATCTCCATTTCGGACACCAGGTCCATCATCTCTGCGTCCGTGTGACCCTCTGCAAAGGAATTATCAATTTGGAATATGGGGTTTAAGCATCGATTTTTTTCCTGAAAGCAGTGAGATAGCTAGGGTAGCAAGGAGTGAGGTAGCTAGCTAGCAAGGAGTGAGCTAGCTAAACTAGTAAGGAGTGAGCTAGCTAGCTAGCAAGGAGTGAGCTAGCTAGATAAGCAAGGAGTCAGCTAGCTAGCTAGGCAAGCAAAGGAGTGACCTAGCTAGTTAGCAAAGGAGTGAACTAGGTATAGCAAAGGAGTGAGCTAGCTAGCAAGGAGTCAGCTAGCTAGCTAGGCAAGCAAGGAATGAGCTAGCTAGCTAGTAAGCAGTGAGCTACCTAGCAAGCAAGGAGTCAACTAGCTAGCTAACAGCATAAGGTGAAAGGTCTGCTCTTATACCTCGTCTGTGGTTTGTGACAACGTTTGAAGATAGTCCAAGTTTCGTAGAACGTACCTTTTAACATTTTGACAGCCACCACGTTGGGAATACCAGGTTTCCCAGTGTTGGTCTGTGCTCTGACGACTTTTCCAAAGGCTCCCTCGCCGAGGGTGTTCCCGAGACTCAAGTGTTCCCTGGGCAGCTCCCAGGCGCTGTCCACCGGGAGTTCGTACTCCGATATGCTGCCGCCGTTGCTGTCCTCAGCGGCCACAGTAGACTTTTGTTTCTCGATTTTTACCACCGGCATCAGTAATGGCTCCTGAACGTTCTGGGCGTTCACCAGATTCTGCTTCTCGACGATCACTTTCTTGGTCCATTGCGTGACCACCGCGGCGCGCGCGGTCTCGATCGCCAGCAGCTTCTTCATCTTCTCGCGCTTCAGCCGGTGGAATATGTAGATGACCACCACGACGCCCACGGCGAAGAAGATGAACAGAACCGCGGCCAGGACGTTCACGAGGATCTGCGGTTTCGCGGGGATGGGCACTCTGTCGTCCAAGGCTGATCGAAATATTTGTTCAAAATTCGAAATTCTCGAACAACGTTTTCTTGTAAATCAAACTCTTCAGGTACTTACATTCGACTACTCGCAAATAGGCGCTGCTGAACGTTTCCCCCAACGTGTTTTGGGCGATACAGGTGTACCAACCCTCGTCCCTTTCGGTCACGTTGTACAGCTTGAGCACTTCCGGGTTTTGCACGTTCGTTCCATCCTGTGGCAGAAACATCGCCCGTCGAGAACGTTGGAAAACAACAAACGAACCCAAACTTGCCCATTTTTTACATAAAAAAATTCCAATATTTGGAAACTGATGCAACGTAAGATATACTGTGCGGTGCAAGTTTGACACGTTTTCATAAAGTGAAAGAAATAACGATACAAGCTTGGACAGGCTAATTTGAAAGAATATCGACTGGCCACTCGAGGACATGCACGAGAAATTGCTCTCCACTCGCATGCACACGCTCTCTGTTCGTCAAACGGAAATACAAACTGATACGGAGCAACAGTGGGAGTAAATCAAGTTTAATAGCAATACGGTAGATTTCGATTAATTGGAACCCATAAGATAACACTTGAGCAACCAATTAATTGTACAAACAATTGTTGGGTATAACAAGCAAAGATTCATATTGGAATCAAGGTCCCAAGTAAAAGCAAGCTGTCTGAGAAATCTATCGTATTTAAAAAGCAAAGGATAATGGTGTTCGACGGACAGGAGAAAAAGCATAAACGGCGAAAGCTCTGATAAGCGTAGAGAAGAATCGTATCATGCGGTGTGAAATAGTTCTACGTGCCCACCTTGACCTCCACCCGGAAACTGTGATTGGTTTTGTTGACAGTGTCGAAAGAAGTGTGATAACCGTGATACCATTCGAGGTGACGATGCGCGTCCGATAGCACCTCGCAGTTCATGGTTGCGTTGCCTCCGATCAGAACGGTCATGTTTCTCGGTGCCCTGGTCAGTATCGGACGGTGTTTCACGCTCTCTACAGGAAAAATAGACCCAACCACCGTTTCTTAACCAGACTCCAAGAAAAGAAAGTAAAAAGAGACGTCGCTTGGTACCATATTCGTTCACTCCACGATCAAATGAGATCCCTGGGACCTGGGGATCGTTTGCTCCTTCAAAATTAGGCCAGTCACAGTCTAAAAGCCTTTGGACTGCTTCTCAGGGATCTCATCAACCCCTTGCCCCGCGATTCAGTTTGAAAATGTGGCCAAAGACGCTTTCACAGGCGCCGGAAGACCAGAGCTCTATCAGAGTCTGCCAATTGGCTGGACGCCAACGGAGCCATTAGAAGAAAGCTTCAAAAATTGATTCTTCAAAAAGCACTATTGCGCAATAACACAATTTCTCGTATCTTTCGAGGCAGGGGGTTGAATCGTGAACGTTATAGGAACGAATCTGATTCCAAGAGACCTCTGAGAGAAATTCTAAGGAGACCCGCACCTGGGAGGATCATTAAAATACAGACAAGTTAAATACACCGGTCGGGACGAGCGAATGTTACTGAAAACGATAAAATGAACGCGCAGAGGTCCGGGAGCAGGCAACCTGAAACGTTCTAAGATACAGGGTAAGCGCGGTTCCAGCGTCAGCTCCTCCACCATCGTTAGTCACTAGGGTATTTAATCGAGAGAAGCGGCCAGAAGTCACCAGAGTCCTTCGTCTAAATAGTCTACGATCGGAATGCTCTTTTGGTTAGGGATCGAGTGCGCCCCGAGAAGACCATCCGCCGAGAGGAATCTCCACCACCTTAGCGGTTACGAGCCGCCTGTACCTGGACCAAAATCCCTTTCGGGGACTTCTCCTTGTCACCTGGGTACTCGGACACCTTGAGCCACTGCATGTACGGCTCGAGGTCGGACACGATCGGACACGTGAAGGTCACCGTGCTGTTCAGCAACGCTGTCACGTTCTTCGGGAACTCCTCCTTGATGTACGGCTTGTGTGGGTAACGTTCTACAGATTCATCAAGTCACGGGGTTTTAATGCACCTCTGACCACCGTTGATGAACGCTCGCGGACAAGGAATTGCCCGGTGATGTCGCGAAGCGCTGGGTCGTAACGTGCAAAAGGCACAGAACGAGAAAAAGTACTGTTTTAAAGGAACTTTTTACGTTGCAACCCAGCACCTTCCTATCGTTCGCAAATTAAATCGTCACGCTTCATCTTTTCGTTAAGGATCGTTCGGGACACATATTTTTTCGGAGTGCATATTCGATATGGAGCTCCACCCACCTATAATCTCGACCTTGGTGGTGCGGTTGATGCATCCTAGGTAATTGCAGACCACGCAGGTGTAATTCCCGCTGTCTTCGGGGACGAGGTCCTCCAGCCTGAAGGTCCACTTGCTGGTCAGGAACGTACCGAGCATTCTCTTCGGTTCCTCGTTGTTCTTCAGCCAGGTGATGTTTGGCCTTGGATTACCAAGGCTCGGGCACCTTAAACGGAGCATGTTACCCGCCGGCTTCACCACCACGTTCGGCATCTCGATGCTCTTATTGAACGACGGCGCGCGTTCCGGCGCCGTATTGTTGTGCTCACCGGCCGTCTCGTTGTCGCTCTTTTCGTTGTCCAAGTCACTGTCCACGGTCTCGCTGTCCAGGTGTAGCGATCGGATCTCTGGCAAATCTGCCAACGAAACGTTCCAAAACTATATTTAGATAGCTCTCGATAAACAAGAAAATGGACACAAACGATCGCTACCCGGTTAACTGAAACGATCGCTACCCGGTTAACTGAAACGATTACTAACCGGATACATCGCGCAACTTTTATTAGAAACAATTTTATTGAAAATTTCAGGTTTCCCGTATAACTGAACAGTGACGGATGGAGCGTGACCTCAGTTAACCGGGGCACGCTGTCCCCGTTGAATCTGATATTGGAAAAGTATTCGATTACTGACTTCTCCCTTCGATTTCCAATTCGTTCGTTTCTTCCTCGGCTCGATGGGCCCCAAGAGTGCTTCCCAGCTTGTCGACATCGTGCTGGTAGCCGTCGTTTTGCAACGTGTCGATTCGTATCGTGACGTTCCTCCATTCGGCCGTCGTGTTCGATTTGAACAGACAACCGTACGAGCTGGCGTCTTCCGGTTCGATATACTTGAATCTCAGGGACTGCTTCATCAGCCGTATTCTGGGCGACGACGGCTGGAACGTTTCGTCATCCTTGTACCAGGTCGTTTCTCCGTTCGAGCTCGACGAGCATCGTAAGATGAGCTTCTCGCCGACCGATACCACCACCGCCTCAGGATGATTTAGATCTGTAACCAAAATCAGATACACCTTCGATCTTTACAAACTATCGAATGAACAATCTTAGACTGGCAAAGCAATCCATAAAAAGATATACTATAGATATTTAATTCGATTGATTTGTCATCGAGTCTCATAAATTAAAATTGAAACAGTTTTCCATTTACGAGGTACTCGTGAAACAAATTTAAACAAAGTTAAATAGTATACTTGTGAAAAATAAATTACTTATGTAAAACGAATTTGTTCTCTTAAGATTCGTAAGGTTTCTAGAGATGTTTTTGTAAAATATTTTACGCTGCAAAGATTGAATACCTTCGCGGATAATTCGAAATAGAATTTCACCGCGACTTTAATGGATTTCACGTTACGCAGAATTGCTTCTCCGAATTTTTATCCGCCATCTACGCAGAACAATAATTTACTACGCGTTTCCCGAGCACGGGCTTCACGAAGATAAATTGAACCAGCTTGTACCTTGGCAAGTGTTTGCATCTTCTAATTCGATTCTTCCGCGAATCGTACTTGGGATACCGCTAGCAAGATTGCGCAAAGTAAACGCGTGCTGCGATCTAATTTTTCGAGACTCGAATTTCGAGCAGGATAACAAAATCGACTTCGTTCGCTGTCGATGACCATACAATTCGAAGGAAAATTCAAAATCTCTGTGTTTGTGATTCCTCCGCGGTTCAAAGCTCGTCGTCGAAAGAGTTAAATTTACACGTTAAGCGAATCCCCGCGATAATTTTATCCTGGTTTCGAGGAAAGCCTCGAGAGCACCGACAGCAATTGCTTCCACTTTATCAAAACACACCTTGGATCGAACGAACGATCCCCGATACTGCGACTCCGACCTTGGAGATCAAGGCGGTAGTCGGTCCAGTGAAACGAAAACACGACGGCCACGTTCGCCAGCGTGTCGTCGGGTCCTTCCTTTCGTGAAAATGGTTCTCGTTCGACCAAGGAAACTCGTTCTCCCGTCCATTCATGAAGTCTGTTTCGGAGGTGTCGTTTGGACGACGGCCAAAAACGCATCGCGACACTGTCCCTTTTGACGTTCCATCTGGAATCATCTCGGTCGATTCGGTTCCTCCCCGTCCCCAGAATGCGCCCGACTAAATTTAGAGGCACGTCGAGGGTGTCTTCTCTCGTCTGCTTATGGCTCGTCCCGTCATTACGCTTCGAAAGCCTCCACCTTTCACGATCTCCCGATATTACACGGATATCCGATATTATCGAAAACCTACAGAAAAACCTCCACAGACTCCATTAGAAAAATTAATGGGGAAACGTGACTGCTCGGAACACGGGGCAATCTTTGAATGATAAAACATTTTTCGATAGGAGGTCTGGGTTATAATTTTCTTCCATAGAATTCACGTATCGTCAGTCTCAATTTTAACACATTACCGACCGATAGCCTATTAATCGACTTTTTTTACCGGCCAACACTTACCGACCGATAGCGTATCAATCAACTTTTTTACCGACCAACGCTTACCGACCGATAGCCGATTAATCAACCGCTACCGGTCGGTAAAGTGTTAATTGCGTTTTTTAAGATGCACCGTCTGTAGTTTTAGGTCAATATCTTTTAAACCAAGCAATAGTTTCAAGATTAAGTGGTTGTAAATTAGGCATAAGTGGTCCTACGTATCCTGAACATATCTGACTCTGAAAGGATGCACCAAGACCCCTAAAAATACAAGTATCTTGCAAATTTAAATAAAAAAAAACAAATTCCAACGAGATGACAAACAGTCTCAATCATCATGGCGTCTAGAATTCGCAGTTTTCTGTAACTATCGCAGCAAGTATACCAAGCGTGCCCATCCAATCGGAGCGAATTCCACGTCGCCCACGGTTTCCTGGTCTCGGTGATTCCCCGGCGAAATGCTTCAATTCCATCTCCCTTGGTCTTTTGCTCACTTTTCCCTCGTCTTTAAACATCCTCAAGCTCCCGTTCGCGTGCACAAATGTCTGATTGTCCCGAGAGCTCTCTCGACGGAAGTCGATCGAGTTTATTGTCTCTTGCCGCGAGTTCCGTTCTTCTCTTTTTTTTTCCGGGGACTGGCCCCGCCACGTGGCTCGCGATCCCTCCGACGCTTTTCGATCGAGAGCCACGCCAACACGGTTAAACAAATAAACCTTACGAATAAAGTTTATCCCTTATTCGGTATTCGAAATTTACGGAGACAAATTCGAACGATGATTCTCCGAGTATCGGAGCTTTAAGTTCGATCTCCGAGTATGACATCACGTGGGCCATCTGCCATGATCCAGCTGCCCGGGAATACCGAAATAATAATCAAGATATATTCGGAGGTATCGCGTGGCAATCTATATTTTTACAATGAAAATATTCGTACAATAATAACACTAAAATTATAGAGTTTACAAACTCGGTACGACGAGGATATTTCAAATTTTATTGACTCGCCCTGTACATTCTTTCGATGGGAATTAAAATGGCTCCAGCTTCTATTGGTGGAGTCAATACCAACTTTGGAGTTCAGTTCGAGCTTCGAGAGATCTGGTGTGCACCGTGTAAATAGGTAGAATACTATCCTAAACGCGTTTCGTTTCCCCTTGTGTGTGTAGACGCTTTGATCGCGACTACAAAGAGAAAATAGGAGGGAAAGTCGACCCACCACAGAATAGCACGGTAAAAAGAAAGATGCACGTCCCGGCCGAGACACGAGTAAATAAACGTGGAAGCTCGGTCGCGTTGTCAAACGAGGGAGATTCATGTACCCGCCATTAGCTAATGGCTAATGCTCCCCGAACGAAACGACCGTGCATTCTCACGTCCTCTTTTGCGCTATTTGGTTTTAGACCGCACGACGCTTCCTGCATTATCGCGCAATTAATTTTAAGAAGTTATTACTTCGACCAGGAAGTCCAACGGGCTTAAAATAGGCTGGCAATAATAAAAAAACGACCGTTTTTCTAGCCTTTTTTGCAAGTTGGACCACGTGATGTTTACGAGGAATGGAAAGAGGGAATTTCTACATATTCTGAGACAAAATACGCGTTGTTTGCATTCTGAAACTTTAAAATTGTCCAATTCGTTCAGGAGCTATGACTTTTTAAACATATGCATGGAATTTCGGGCCACACATTATGTTTTCGGTAAAGAATTTTTTTTCTGGAAAATACGTAGGATTTCGGGGGTATGTGTATTCATCAAAAATGATTGTAATTGACTCCTACAACTAAAAATAATTTTTTTAGGACGATTTGAAATTTTTTTTTCTCATCGAAAAATTTGTCTATTTCTTGAATTTTTTTCTCGAAACTGGGTAGGATTTTGAGGGTATGCCTATTCACCAAAAATTATTGTAATTGACTCCCGGAACCGAAAATAATTTTTTTAAAACGATTTGAAATTTTTTAATTTCGCCGAAAAATTTGTCCACTTCTTGAATTTTTTTCTCGAAACTAGATAGGATTTCAAGGTTATGCCTGTTCACCAAAAATGATTGTAATTGGTCCCCGGAACCGAAAATAATTTTTTTAAAACGATTTGAAATTTTTTAATTTCGCCGAAAAATTTGTCCACTTCTTGAATTTTTTTCTCGAAACTAGATAGGATTTCAAGGTTATGCCTGTTCACCAAAAATGATTGTAATTGGTCCCCGGAACCGAAAATAATTTTTTTAAAACGATTTGAAATTTGTTAATTTCGCCGAAAAATTTGTCCACTTCTTGAATTTTTTTCTCGAAACTGGGTAGGATTTCGAGGGTATGTCTATTCACCAAAAATGATTGTAATTGACTCCCGGAACAGAAAATAATTTTTTAGAACAATTTGAAATTTTTTAATTTCGTCGAAAAATTTGTCCACTTTCTGAATTTTTTTCTCCAAAATGCGCAGGAATTCGGGGGTATATCTATTGACCAAAAATGATTGTAATTAACCCCTGCAACCAAAAATAATTTTTTTAAAACGTTTTGAAATTTTTTAATTTTACCGAAAAATTTGCCCACTTTTCTGAATTTTTTTCTCCAAAATGCGCAGGAATTCGGGGGTATATCTATTGTCCAAAAATGATTGTAATAAACTCCTGCAACTAAAAATAATTTTTTCAGAATGATTTAAAATTTTATAATTTTCTCGAGGATATTCATAATTACATGAAATTCTCCATCGACAAGTAACCTAAAATGTAGCTCTTCTTGAAGATATATTCTCAGTTTCGAGTACTCTCTAGCCAGCTATCTCTATTACAAAGAGAACACTATGCATGTCGCCTAGTTGTAAAACACGTTATGTTGCACGGTCCGAAAAAAAAAAAAAATTGACGAGTCATAAGTTCTCCGCTATTATTAATGATTTACGTACACCGCGATATTAAAAAATATAAAATAAAAAGGAAGAATAAAAATCCTCCCAGTCCAATTAATTTCCATTGCGAGGTAGGCGTGTATCGTAGCAGGACAGTTACCGTGGTAATTTACGAGCGGCCGTTTTCACCTTATTTAGCAGAAGCATTACGCGGCCATATTGCACGATGAATTGTTCGATGTAATTATCTAACACGCGGTTTGAGTATGCCGGTCGATAACATTGTGGCGCGTCGGAACGATCGCACGGGGCATTAATTCCGTCCGATAAATCTCTCTCGATCGTCTGAAAAACCGTACCGAGACGGTGTTTATCGGGAACAGCACGCGCCGATCGTAAATTAATTTCAAAGTTTTCGCACGGCTGCCCGGGGTACGCTTCCGCGAGGCGGTCGTGACCGGTTCTCAAAATATTTTTCGACGCGGGAACCAATTTAGAACGCGGCTATCTTGGAAAATCCGCGCAAGAAAGAACGATACCAAGTTCCACGGAAGCGGTGAATTTCACTAATAAACCAACGCGTCGGGATTCAAAACGGAAACGGGGCCGCGATCGTATCGATTTGTAACCGTTTACATATTCATGCGTTTATTATCTGTACGCCATAAAGCGATACTAGTTTTCGATGTGAAATATCGTCGATTTATTTATTTCCTTTTT